ATTTTTTATAACCTAACTTCATAGTACTGTCATGTTTTATAAAAATCATTGAACTATATACTCTGTTACAGAGTATACAGGGTGACAATTTGAAAACTTACCACCCCCCATATCTTAGTAAATAAACGAGATATTTAAAAAAATCAAAATCCGTTTCAGTAATTCGGAGGGGGAGTCACAATGACATAGTTGGCGACGCACCCCCTCCAACCCCCTGCGCCCCAGCCAACCCAACTTTTAAATCTTAAATAGTGACCCCCTATGTGTGATACGTCGTTGGAAAGCTCTGAAAAAATGCTTTCAAACCGTACCAAATAGCATTACATTTAGGTTAGTAATTATCGTGCAAATCAAAAAATAAACTAATATGATACATTTGAAATCTGTCGTATTTCAAACGCAAACGGCGAACATAGACGAACTAAGACAGAGAATAATCTCGAGAATAATTCAAGAATGTCGAAATATTGCAAAACCAACATTTGAAAAGGTTCGACAAGAGTCTGAGAATAGATTATAACTGGCGATCAAAAATGAGTTGCTGTCGAGTCGGCTTTGGAAGTTCAAGTTAAATACGATTTTCCATGTAAACAAAAATTTCAAAGGGCGACTCGACAGCAACTCATTTTTGATCGCATAGTAATACTGTCTTACCAAGAACGGAAACCATTTTGAACATTTATTGAAATAAAAGCCAACTTTAGAAAATGTATCATATTAGTTTATTTTTTGATTTGCATGATAATTACTAAACTAAATGTAATGCTATTGGTATGGTTGGAAAGCATTTTTTCAGAGCTTTCCAACGACGTATCACACATGGGGGGTCACTATTTAAGATTTAAAAGTTGGGGTGGCTGGGGCGCAAGGGGTGTGAGGGGGTGCGTCGCCAACTATGTAATTGTGATTCCCCCTCCGAATTACCGAAACGGATTTTGATTTTTTTAAATATTTTGTTCATTTACTAAGATATGGGGGGTGGTAAGTTTTCAAATTGTCACCCTGTATAGTTCAATGATAAAAATATATACAGATCTCTCCAAACAGGTGTAACAATCCCTAACATTAAAGTTACTAGAATCTGGTAACTTCCGCCATTTTTGGGCAAAAATCTTGCGTTCTCTCTCTAACACACGAGCCCAATGGATTGCGGTACTTTCTATATTTTAGTGACTTTATATAATTACAAGAATTGAGAAAACCGGCTTTTATTAATTATATCATGGACAAATTTAATTTTGCGTATTACGGAGATGGTTTCGAGGTATCATTTCCTAGGCTTGCGTTGATGGCGGTGCTTAGTGGAGTTCGGTTGTTGAGGATAGTACTGAAATGGGAAAACCTTTCAGCTGTTGTATGGACCGATTCAACAACGGCCATTCAATGGATTCGAAGGTCTGACAACTGGTCAATTTTTCCATGCATCATGAGGCTCTAGTATTTCACATCTCATTGCTTTGAAATGGTGGGAGGGACCTGAGTGGCTGAAGTACCAAATCAACAACACTCCACTACTATGGTTTAACCTTTTTGGGTTGTCCCTGATCAATTGTTGACTTATTCGCAAAAATAAAAAGGGACCCATGCCTTTTGCTTGTAGCTAAATGGGTCACCCTGTGTGTGACCTGAACATCCTATACAGATGTGCGCATACTGTTTTTTGCCATTATCTATTAATTGGCAAAAATCTGATACCATTGATTAAATTAAAATAAGATGAATTTTTTAGGCGCATCAACCGGTTGTTAATTTTGCATAAGATGAATTTGCATGTCTCGAATATCAATAATAGCATTGTTTATTTTGAACGAATCTGATGTTACATAATGCACTGCATGTGAGATCACAATCTAGCTAGTACCTTCTCCGCCCACCCCTTTTTGGCCCAAAGGCTCAAAACGCAACCCCTCGGTCTTTGTGCGTATTATTAACATTTGCGGGATAGTTCGTGGAAAATTGCTAGGAGCATTTGTAACACAGAAACACTCGTAGGTAATGACATGTTCACGAGACGTAAACGTGATCGTCTACAGAGTTTGATGCCAAGAAAACGTAAATATCAACAGCATTTAGAAGGATTAATGGTTTTATCCTGTAGCACGTGCCGAAAAAAAGTAACTTTGACATTGAAAAATTCAAAAGTATAAATAAATGGAGGCCATCTTTTAAAGAGTATATTTAATTGGATATATCGGTGGATAGTGTAATGCATGTACTTAATTCGAGTGACACTTTTTTGTGGCATAGTGCCAAAAAAAGGAATTTCTGGAAAAAATAGTCTTAGTGATGGTTATTCATAATTGAGGTTGCAGCTCATCGAAAGAAGGTCATACTTTCACTGAAACCGATGGCAAAGTTTTTAAAAGAAAATTATTATTACCCAGTCTATAGGTTAACGCCCTCGTTTATTCAGACTTTAAGATGTAGGTAAAATGGGGTATTTTCAAGTCAAAAATTTGGAGCTACCAGGACTTTTGTTTCCATCAAGAATGTTTATCTGATTTTGTTAGTCTTGGATCAGTTTTATTTCCCTATTTACCGAAGATCGTAAACATTTTCCACAGAGGTTTATCGTTTTTACGTTTTCTGCTTTTCTTCTAAAAGTGGTTATCGTTTCGGAATTGACCACTCTTAGAGGGAAAGAATCGATAGAAACCTCTTGGGCGCCTTGCTGAAAGTAGATTGGAAATTAATGAAAAGACGAAATTTGTCAGAAACAAGTGGAAATAGAACGGAACATAGAAACAATATCGTCCGGTTATAAATTCGCGTGTCAAGGGAAAGTACTATGCTGATATTTAAAAATTTATTCGATCTTGGTGCTTCTTGTAGTGGAAATCTGCAAGTAGAATACCGGCACTATCCCCCGCCACTTTTTCTGACGTCCCAAGGTCGGGGATGACGTAAATGACGGGGATTTGCCTCGGTTACGTAACCAAGATCGTGGTTGGCGATTCGCGTTAGTCGATTATTTTTGCGGATCTGATTGAATTAATTAATGTTTATTATTTATATTTAAATGTGTGTAACCGAGCACCTGTGTTCCGCCTTGAAATTATCAGTTTTTATGATTACTTTGCAGATGAACAACGGGTATCAAAAGGCGTTTTAAGTTGGGCGCTTCGTTACGAAGATTGACGCTTTATTTCTGTGTAGGAGTTCGAAATATATTAGTGGGTTAATTTGTGGAGCCGCTCGTTACGGAGGGTAAAATCCGTCGAAAGCTCTCTGTCCAGGAAAGAAGAAAGAGAATCAATCTTATTAAGTTTTAGGTCCGTTAATAATTTTAGTTTTCTAATTGTATACGAAAATCTAACATTAAACCGGCAAGGCCGTGGAGTTTAAGGAAAATATCAACGTGATAAGAGAATACGCCGCTTGACCTCACATTCCAAGGAACAAAAGGGTATAAAGTGTATACCTATGTATGAAATTTCATTTAATTGCTTCCATAAATAAGAAAGTTGGCACTGCGCATCCTACACAAAATCAAATTTGGAAAATGGCGCTACATTTGCTTTTATTTCAAATGGCTATGTATCAAATTTCATTTGAATGCCTCCATAAATAAGAAAGTTGGCACTGCGCATGCGCATAACCAAATTTTGAAACTGGCGTTAAATTTGCTTTTATTCCAAGTGGCTATGTATCAAATTTCATTTAAATACCTTCATAAATAAGAAAGTTTGCAATTCGGTCTGTAAATGGTCGAGATGCGCAAAGGGCACTGTGAATACTGATCGATTAGGCTCAACTTTTGGAATTGTGTTTTGTATGGCTAAACCTATACGCATATTGAATTTCTTGCAATTCAGATCATAAGTAACGAAGATGTCAAAAGGGCCTACTTTATTTTTTGGTCTACATTGCCAATTCACGAACTCCGATCTACAAATTTGATAAAGAATCCACCTGCAAAATTTCATCGTGATCGGTCCATTCGTTTATGAGTTATCGTGCTAACGGACGGACGGACGGACAGACACCGCAAAATTATAAACTCGCTAGGAGCTCGTTAATAAAGTACAATTTCAAAGACTATTTTTAGACAATATTTTTTATCAAATTCAGTTGATATGTCCGGGTTTATAATCCCTAAATCTGGGGTTTTCGTGCTTCCTGTGCTAGCTGTTGGCAGAGTTTTGAGATGGTAACCCTAAGTGCACACAATTGTAAGCCTGTCTTTTTGCTTAATTTTATTTTGCTAATCGTTAACCTTTTCTCAATGGTCCCACTGAGGAAGGACAGCAAAGTGCGTCCGAAATATTTGGATTACCAAATAAAAATACTAAACGAAGTCTGACTTTTGAGCCTACTCACCCCACTCCAATTAAATACATATTTATTTAATATTTTGGTGCTCTTAAGGTGAGGGGGTGGGGGGGGGCTGAATTTGATCATGGCTAGATGTACTTAGCACAAAAATGTAATGGGCAAAGCGAGGTCGCACCTTAACCGTGTTCTATAACAACTATTTATTTATGTAGGAACACTTAAAGACCGGAAAAATACTGGAACCGGAACCTAAAATTATTAAGGTCTCAGAACCGGAACTCACAAAAAGAATATTCTATCTAAGTAGTGCCGAACATATGTCTTCCAATCCTCTAGCTAGGCCGAAAGTAGCGGGATGGGGGAGATTAAGGGCCCAATGTTCGGCTAATGCGCCCTTGGCAATCTCGGTAGATATAATATAATTGTAGTCTGATTGATTATGCAAATTTGTGTATTTATCAGAACGTAGTAAATAGTACAAGAGTGGAAGCTTGTAAGTTTTAAATACAAAGCGCGACCTACCCTTTAATTAACTGAGTATATTTATGAAACCGGAGGTGGTTTTATCGATTTAGGGCATGAAATATTCAAATGCAATCTGCTAATGGCGTTTGCGTGGTACGAATTTAAATTGTAGAGTAGCAGCATCCAATGAACAGATAGTGAAATAAGCGCCATCACAGGTCGCGGATGTTTGATTGAACTACGCCAGACCGTGCGTCATCTGTCAAAATGTGTGTTATAAACGTCAAATGAGAATTTAAAAGTGAATTTAAAAACGCAAGAAAATAAGATGAGGTACCGCAGTAGTGAGATTGAAATGTTTTGCTTAAAGCATTTACATAAAATGGGCGTTTGACAAAAGAGAAAAACCAAAATCGAAAGGCGCTAGAGCATTTAACTTGTCCAAAATTAAAAATGTACAAAAAATCACAAAATGGTCTTAAGTACAGAATGGTCTCAAGTTGAAGTAATAGACCTTATAAATGACGGTTCCGGTTTAGGTTTTGGCATCGTCGGCGGCCGAAGCACTGGTGTCGTTATCAAATCTATTCTTCCAGGAGGGATTGCCGACAGAGACAATCGACTTCAAAGCGGCGACCACATCTTACAAATCGGCGATGTAAATCTGCGAGGTCTAGGATCCGATCAGGTGGCAAGCGTTCTTCGCCAAACCGGTTCGCAGGTTAGAATGGTAGTAGCGAGACCGATCGAGCCGTCGTCTGTTAATTTCCACAATGTCTCGAGTACGGCGCCGATAGTTCCGACGAAAATTCTAACGGATCCCGAAGAATTAGACCGGCAATTGCTTCAAAATGGTTACTCGCAAATTTGCAACTTGCACGCTTATAATAATCAAGATCTCGCTCAATTACATTTAAATAATATTGATATTAACGAATTAAACGTACTTAACGCTATCGATATTAACGTAGTAAATTCGTCGAATAATTTATCGCCGGATAGTGAGAAGCAGTTTGTGGTCACGCCCGTCGATATCGAACAAGCTTTGCCGGAAACCGAACGTTTTACGGTCGAGTTAAACAAGAACGAGTATGGCTTAGGTATTACGATCGCCGGATACGTCTGCGAACGAGAGGATCTGAGCGGGATTTTCATAAAAAGTATCAGCGAAGGAAGCGAGGCGTACCGTTGCGGTACAATCGACATTAACGATCGTATCGTCGAGGTGAACGGTTATCCGCTTCACGAATGCACCAATCATCAGGCGGTCGAGAAACTGAAGCAGAGCGGGAATGCGGTCGTGCTTACGCTGGAAAGGTATCTACGCGGTCCGAAGTATGAGCACTTGCAAGAAGCGTTAGCCAGCCAGCAAGACAAGAAAGATTTAAGTCCTCCGTCTCCGTCGGTTACGACACTTAGCTGGATTCCGATAGATGCTGATATTTCAATAGAACCGGAGGGTGAATCGGTCACAACTGTTAATAGTGAGGTAAGATGCAATACAGGTGGGGGAGGGGGGTGAATAGTAGCAATGGGGAATTAATTTTTTGCTCGTTTTTTTGTTATCTCCTGCATTTTAAAAAAAATTGATACAACTGGATACCAAACGATCCTCGAGATCTTCACACGTATTCTTACAACAGTCCTTAAGGGGTTGATTCTGTTCCACCAGATCAGCATAGCTTGTAAAACAAATTTTTTTGATTCAGCATTTGTTTTACTTTTATTCGAGGTGCCTACATACAAAATTTCATTTAAATATCTTGACAAATAAAAAAATGGGATTGCGCAAATACCAAAGTTGGACTGCGCATGCGCATTTTTTTTATTCATCTGCATAGTTGCCTTATTATTATTATTATTACTAACACATAAAACCGGACATTCGTATGTTTTTGTAACAGGAATTATAAATGAAACCCTTTTTTGGAGGTGTGAGCTGGAACTTTTTGGCCCGTTAGTAGCTGAAAAACAATAGCGTCCTTTCTTGAAGGTCCTAAAGAACATATGTATCAATTTTCAAAGCGATCGGACTTTTCTACACAAAGTTATCGTGTATACGGGCAGACAACAGACAGACGGATAGGCAGACAGCAGTACAACATTATAAAAGATCTCGAGGATCGTTAATAGTCATCCAAGAAGCACCTTATCGTGGTTATTCATTATTTATAGTCGATCAACATATACAGTGTGTCCCAGATCGCGTGGGATTGCATGGGTAACTTTCTTATTAAATGGGCAATGTTTTGCAGTTTTAGATGCATATTTAAAATTTCCTTATGAAAATTCAAAATGTCGACGTATATTCAAAAAAACTAAAATTGGTCATTTCCTTGAATGTCTTATATCATTGACAGTATAAGAGATATAAAAAAAAGATTTATATAAAAGTTACTGTCTTTGATACGCTTCATTCAGAATTGATGTTAAAAAAAATTCAAGATGGCTACTTTTGACGGGACTTTTGAGGAACATTTACCAACTTCCTAAAGTTAAATAGGCGCCATGTTGAATTTTTAGATTACTTGCATAGGATTGAAAACAAGATACCAGTTAAATCAACGATTTTTATATTTTAATCAAGTAGTCTGTGATGAATAAAAAAAAACAAAACAAAATCTATTGGAGGCAACAAAACAATGGAAATAAATACATCAGATGCTTAAAATATCAGGGGCGCACTCATGGAAGGGGGGTTTTGGTATTACAACTACCTCAAGTAGGCGTAGAAAAATGTTGACTTTTATGACGTTACTTATTGACTTATCCATACTAACATAATACCTACAAAATGGTGGTAGAACTACAAACCATCCCCTTGCAAAAGCCTTAAGCTGCTCACCATTAGTTACAAATTCTCCAATAAACTTCTTTAAAGGATTTTCTAGATAATGTATGTTTCGCAGAAAGGGTTGCTTTATGGTACCTACCAACAAGCTGGCCGCCCAGGTTATTGTGTACATTGTACATTAAAGAATGAAGTAATAATAATAATAATGATGATATATTTTCATGTTTTGCACAGTAGCGCTTACATTCGTCAAGTTTTTCTAGTTAAATAACATATGTAATGTACTTATATATTTACTTAATACAATAGTCAATTTAAATTTAAAATCACTCTGATTCTCTAAAGCCTTCACTTACAAATTCTTGTATGGAAAATGTTAGGTATCGTTTAAGGGTTACTTTTAGTTTTTTTATATCATTATGATTGGATACTCTTTGGTAGGAGGTTAAAGAATTTTTTAGCTTGGAACTGGTGATTACTTTGGGTCTTAGATAGTCGAACGTAAGCTGCCCTAATATTGTTTTTGTTTCTGGTATCATGACGATGTATGTCTGCATGGGTTTTAAAATTATCTGTATTAATTCTGGCATACAGTATGCATTCTAGTATATACATGCTCGGCAGGGTTAGTATTTGCAGTTGTCTAAAGGAGTCTCTGCATTCTTCCTGATAACCTAATGAGTCAACTATACGTATCGCTCTTCTCTGCAGGGCGAAGACATCTTTGGCTGTGGCGCAGTTACCCCATATTAATAAGCTGTAGTTTATTAACGTGTGTATCAGCGAATAATATGCTGTTAATAAGATTGACTTTGACACATTGTCGGTCAGTCTTCGTAAAACATATATGTTGGTACTGATTTTTTTACATATACTATTAGTATGTGCCGCCAGACTTAGCTTTTCATCAATGACTAGCCCTAAAAATTTTACAAAACTAGGGTTATCAAAGGTGTGATGCCTTAACGTAGTTAGTAACACTTCTGTTTTTCCTTTATTTAGGATCAGGTCATTGGCTATACACCATGTAGAGGCCAGAGATGTTAGTTCTTCTTTGGTCGCTAAAACTTTATCCAAATTTTCCCGTTTTGAGAAAATATTGGAGTCATCTGCATAAAGAATGCAGTCGGCATGTGGTTTCATATATTGGGGAAAATCGTTAAAGTAGATTAAAAACAGCAATGGTCCTGATATGGATCCCTGAGGAACCCCTCGTTTGGTATGTAACTTATCGGACATGATATTTTCATTTATTATAACATATTGAGATCTATCCGAAAGATATGATTCAATAAGTTTTAAACTGTTTTGGTCGAAATTATAAATCCGTTCCAGTTTACTAAGTAATATATTATGCGAGACACTATCAAATGCTTTTGATAGGTCTAAAAATATTGCGAGTGAATAGAGACCTTCTTCAAAACAAGCGAGGGTGTTATTTACAAATTTACTCAAAGCTTGGATTGTGCGTCGTCCTTTCCTGAACCCGTATTGGTCATTATCTAGTATATTGTTAAATTCAAAGTGATCTGCTATTTGACTATGAACTATTTTTTCAAAAATTTTTGAAAAAATAGGTAGCATTGATATTGGCCTGTAGTTTCTGTGATCTTGAGCATCTCCTGATTTAAAAACGGGAATAACTAAAGCTACTTTCAAGTCTCGGGGTTCTACGCACCAAAATTAATTAAAAAAAGTTTTTTCCGGAGAAATTTTGGTGTAGTCGATTTTTGGTAAAAAAGGAAGGTTATACACTGCCTTTTTTTGAGGCCCTCAAAAAAAATTGTCTTAGATTGACCCGGAAAAAAATTTTTCTTATAGAATGTGGCCTGTAGAATCCATAATTTCAAACAGTTCCTAGATTGGGCTACTAGTTCAAAAGTTACAGCCCTTTGAATTTTCTTTCGACATTGGTTTCTAGTCTATAACTTTTGATTGAGAAGTCTGATCGAAAAAGTACGAATTGTTTTGGATTCTACGCACCAAAATTAATAAAAAAAAGTGTTTTCCCGAGAAATTTTGGTGCAGTCGATTTTTGGTAAAAAAGGAAGGTTATACACTGCCTTTTTTTGAGGCCCTCAAAAAAAAATTGTCTCAGATCGACCCGGAAAAAATTTTTTCTTATAGAATGTGGCCTGTAGAATCCATAATTTCAAACAGTTCCAAGATTGGGCTACTAGTTCAAAAGTTACAGCCCTTTGAATTTTCTTTCGAAATTGGATTCTAGTCTATAACTTTTGATTGAGAAGTCTGATCGAAAAAGTACGAATTGTTTTGGATTCTACCCACCAAAATTAATACGAAAAAGTGTTTTCCGGAGAAATTTTGGTGTAGTCGATTTTTAGTAAAAAAGGTAGGTTATATAGACTGCCTTTTTTTGAGGCCCTCAAAAAAAATTGTCTCAGATTGACCCGGAAAAAAATTTTTCTTATAGAATGTGGCCTGTAGAATCCATAATTTCAAACAGTTCCTAGATTTGGCTACTAGTTCAAAAGTTGCAGCCCTTCGAATTTTCTTTCGAAATTGGTTTCTAGTCTATAACTTTTGATTGAGAAGTCTGATCGAAAAACTACGAATTGTTTTGGATTCTACGCACCAAAATTAATAAGAAAAAGTGTTTTCCGGAGAAATTTTGCTGTAGTCGATTTTTGGTAAAAAAGGAAGGTTATACACTGCCTTTTTTTGAGGCCCTTAAAAAAAAATTGTCTCAGATCGACCCGGAAAAAAATTGTTCTTATAGAATGTGGCCTGTAGAATCCATAATTTCAAACAGTTCCTAGATTGGCTACTAGTTCAAAAGTTACAGCTCTTTGAATTTTCTTTCGAAATTGCTTTCTAGTAGGGAATGCAATCCCGCAGCAAAATCTCAATCCCGGTATTTTCGGGATTGTTAGATGTTAATCCCGCGGGATCCCGGAATTTGCGGGATCTCGCAAAACTTGGATATAGATTTTTGACTCATTTTATGGGCGGGTATTGAAATGCTACCTTGCACTTAAGAAACCCACTATAGCAAGTGCCGTCCGGGGTTGCGGGGGTGGCGGCATAGCTGAAATTGAACCTTAGGGTGTCTAGAACATCCTCTGAAAGTTTCATAAAGTTATCACAAAATGCAAGGTTGAAACCTATAACTGCTGCACTAATTGGTCTGTGAAAATTTTGAAATACACTCCACATGCCATTAAATTTTAATCTAAATTGTCCGCACCGTAGAATTCACTGCGCATGCGCAAAAGAAACGTCATATTTGACCTTCCCTTCAACTATTTGGGAATGCGAACTCGGTTCAGTCACAATAGTCATAAGTATGTCTCACCTAGACTTTACAGTGCAAGGAACGTAGGGCACTGCATATTCTTATAGGGGTTTTTAGTGAGGCGATGCCGATTTATTTATAATATTCTTTCTTCTTCAAAAAACCGAAAAATGTCATTTTCAAAAATGCGCCGGCGTTTATTTATTTTCGAAGATATCAAAAAATAGTTTTAAAAAACCCTTGGTAATTTTTTCTTTTTAAACACTTAATATTTGACTTGGGAATCAATCGTGCATTTTTGCCTTGAAGCTTACAATGTGTTTCTTATGGCAATAATTCCATGGCCGAGTCGATGGTGTCAATGCAAGACAATAAACGAATGAATTTGGTTTTAATCACAATCAGCCATGGAATTATTGCCATAAGAAATACATTGTAAACTTCGAGGCAAAAATACAAAGTTGATTCCCAAATTAAATAGTAAGTGTGTTGGTTTTGTAATTTTTTTCTCTCTCAAATGACATAAAAATCCAATATGGCGTCCATAAGAAATAAGAAAGAAACTCGAAATTCACAATTTGTCAAATTATATTTTAGCATCATCAGAAAGCTGAGAAGAAATTGCTAAGGATTTATTTAAACTATTTTTTGAAATCTGAAAATAAATGAACGCCAGCTCATTTTTGAAAATGACATTTTTCGGTTTTTTACCATAACTTCGTTGTTTGTAGAGCTACAAGAAAGGGAAAATTAATCTACATAAAATTCTGCAATTTTTTTCTGCAATTTTTGCTAATTTAATCGACCCTGTATTTTTTTACCGTTTACGAGATCCTCATACTGAACATTGGAAAAAACTCACCCTGTATATCTTTTGTTGTTCTTTTTTGGTTGACAAAACTTTAAATGATTTATTTACACAATAAATAAAATTATTATTGTGTATGATGTTTTAGTGGCAAGTGGTGCCTTTCTTTAATCCATTCACACGCACCCACAGGGTAGGGTAGGAAAAGGGTTTGTATCAATAATTTTTCTTCGTATGTCCAATAAATTTTAATTTTTCATTGTGTATTTGTGTACTCCTGAAAAAAGTTAAAAACTAAATAGAATAAACAAGAGATAGCAACAATTAATACTGTGTACTTTCAGATTTACGACAACAACCCCGACAACGTTGAGATATTCGTGGATGAAAACTTTGACGCCGATTTAACCGAAGATTTGGAAACGACGATCAAGAAAAAGTGGGAGAGCCTCGTCGGTCCCGAGTCTGAAATTGTAGTAGCGCACATAAAAAAATTAAAAGGACTAGGAATAAGTTTAGAAGGTACGGTCGACGTTGAAGGTGGAGTTGAGCTGAGACCGCGCCACTACATCCGGTCAATTTTACCCGACGGTCCCGTCGGACAGCACGGCAAGTTGGGGTCGGGGGATGAGCTGCTGGAAGTTAACGGTCAGAAGTTGTTGGGGATAAAACATGTCGAGGTCGTAAAAATACTCAAAAGTCTACCAAATACAGTCCGCCTTGTGTGTTCACGTAAGCACGACGAGAATCGTGTTATAAATACTTCGCAGGATAGGGAAGCGTTCGAAGCTAGAAATATTTTAGGTGGAAGCTTGAAAAACCTACTTCCTCAACCCGAGCAGAAATTACTTAAGGCACTTAGTGATACTAGTATTAATACGTCGAGTACCGCTACAATTACCGACGAGACTAACTTGCAAAAGGCTAAGTCGCGATCTTTAGAAAACACAAACCTGGCCATGTGGTCGGATTCGGTCGAATTTGTAGATTTAGTGAAGGGCGAGAGGGGGCTCGGTTTTTCTATTTTAGATTATCAAGATCCCTTGGATCCGAAGTCAACCGTAATCGTGATACGTAGTTTAGTACCTAACGGTGCTGCAGAGCTTGATGGTAGGTTGAAGCCTGGCGATCGCTTAATATCGGTCAACGATAGAGTTATTAAGAACGCCAATCTCGATCAGGCCGTGCAAGCATTAAAAGGAACGTCGCTCGGTAAGGTTAAGATTGGCATTGCAAAACCACTTCCTTTATCTAGACCTAGCGATTCACGTAGCAGCCCAACTGTTGGTTCGTAACTGGTAGGTAGCAACCAATTAATTGTTGATTTCCGAATCAAAATGCAGACAGTATTGGAATTTGGAATGTAATTGCATTGGAATGGCCCCACAGTAAGCGCCAATGTTTTATGGTAAAAAAACACTTAAAGTGGTATGTGTATATTATGCTTGCCAGGAGAGAATGCCGGTCACAGAACACCTGATGCAGCTCTACAAATTTAATATGAAAAACATACAGTTGTGGATCGGCATCAGTTGTTCAGTGATCGGCATTCGCTCCCCACGAGCGTTATAGTATACACAGCATTTAAGTTTCCCTCTAAAACATGAAATTATCTTTTTCGAATATGCCGATATACAGGGTGTTTTTTTGGAAGCTGTAATTTTAAATGAAACGCCTATATTTGGATTCTACTGAAATTTCAAATAGAATCCAAAAATAGGGGTTTCTATTTAAAATAACGAAGTTACTAGAACTAAAGCAACTACAACAACTAAAACACCCTGTATAGCACTTTGGTAAAAAGGATTCGTCTAAAAAAATATTACAAGTGGGGAGGTTTCATTGAAAATTTATACATGAAGATGGATGAGGTTTAAAGATTGGGATATTTTTGAAGCTATTTAGGTATTGGTAAATTAAAAAGAACTGTGATCTAGTAATGGAATTGATTTTAATCATAAGCATAAGCAAAATTGTGGTATGTACCTAATCCAATCTCAAACTTTAAGGATGTGTTTACCATATGCAAATTATCTGTTTGTGAGAAGAATCAGTGTAGATATCTTTGGTAGTGCTTTGTTGTAAACTACATGTAGTTCTAAGGTTTGTGTGTTTGGAATGATATTTTTTTTATAACTTACAATAGGTTTGTATTTGACCGAGTACATTTGGGTCGTTTAATGAAAATCTGTTGCGTTATTCGAGTCAAATTGCTAAAGGAAACAAATTTTAAATTTCAACAACACAAATTTACTCGGTTTAAGTACAAACCTTGAGTGTTGTTTGGCAGGACAATTTAACGTACAAGAAATTCACGTTGCTATTAAAAAAAATTCAAGATGGCGGTCGCACTAAAAAAAATAGCGTTCTAATTTTCATGCCTATATCTCAAACGGTTTGAGCGTGAGATTTAATCGCGACCCTGTATATACTTTTTTGGAAAACGTTAAATATGCTTGTGTAGGAAGCTCCAAAGAGTCCGTTCATTTAGCCATCTGTTAGCCCAAAAATGAAGCAATTTTGTTGTATCTACTCTACTGTATCTCAATGTGTTCTATTGTGCATTTGTGTGCACAATTTGTGCCTTTTTCGTTTTAGAAAAATTTTAAAAATTAAAATGGGGGCTAAGTGAACGTTTAGCGCCGTAAAAAATTAAACTGTTTAATACGCCAGTATCACATAATACTTCAATTGTGCTTAATTGGGCTTTTAGGTTCACATATATTTAGAGAAACCAAATGGAGGGTAAAGTGAACTTTTAACGCCCCCCCCCCTCCCCTTCCCTCAAAAATTGACCTTTTCATACTGAAGTACAGGGTGATTTCGTATATTTAGACAACGCTTTTGTTAGAAGAGAAAAAAAACTGTAAATACAAAGGTAAAAAAACAAAAGAAAATCACAAAGTTTATTATTTTTTATCAATTAATATATTATTTTTACCTTGAGAATAACCCAGACCAACTTGACTGTTTAATATTTATTTTCAATAAACAAAATGTGTCCTAAATTTACAAATAATAAATGGTCATTACTACTTCCAATACATTTCCTGTAGTTTATCCAATTTAAGCAAAGTATTGCTAATAAATATGTATTTTTGAAATTAGAAAGAAAAGATTTTTCAATTTTTCGAAGAATATATAACGCGCTCCATTAAAAATTTACCAAATTTGCATTTTTTACTAAATTTGCATTTTTTACTAAATTTCTGGCGAATTCTGATAAGCCCCACAATTTTTATACTAAATACTAACTAATAAACGCGTTACGCGCTGTCTAAATATACCTAGTACTTTGATTGTGCTTAATTGCGCTTTTATGGTCACTGTCTGTTCCATTTTGAGTAAGCGTTTACTTAGGTGGGGGGGGGGCAATGGGGGGATTTCATTTTTCGAAATATTTCCTAAATCAAAAAGGCACAATCCGTGAACATACAAGCACAATCAAAAGTGCTGTGTAATACTGTTGTTTCAGTGTGAAAATGTTTAATTCAAGAGCGGGGGTTTTTTAAAACTATTTCTAAAGCCAAAGAGACACAAAAAAATTGGTGTATTGTTAGGCTAATGGGAGGGCTAAGTGAACGGACCGATAGCAAAAACCAGAACTCCAATTAAAATGTCCTCATATATTCTTCTTATGGAAATAGTAACGCAGACGCTTCAAATATCGAGAACAATATCACCAAAATGTTTAGAACATTCTCAATAATAAAAAATGTGTGATTGCGCCCTGTTTTTTGACAAGCAGGCAGAAATTCATGACTATAAAGAACGGAATGGTTCTACTGCGTATTGTGGAAAATGTAGCTCTCCTAAAATAGGATCTCAACAGGATGCAATAGAATCCCTCCAACAAAAAGAAGCTTGCGGAACGGATGTTCGGGAAAATATACAGGGTGGAAATTTTATCTGGAGCACTGAATATATCTTCGAAAGTATATTTTTTTAGACTTTTTTGTGCTATCCAAAATTATAAAAATTTTGCCGCTGATTTGTATACCTTAGAATTGTCACCAGTGGCGGACGTCTACAGATCCAAGGGGGAATATATATTTTTAATGGCAACTACTATTTTTTATTACATATTCTTAAAGTTTATGGACATAAAAACTAAAATAATTTTGATTTATATGTTTTTTCAGTAACAGCTGAATTAAATACAGACGCACGACACTGTTCATAGTTTTTAAGTTTGTAAATTTGTTGAATATTTTTAATAATTTTTGATTCAACAAAACTCTTGAAATTTTGACACTCTGTAGGTCGGTCATTAGGTGTTTGCGGACATATGCTTATATGAACTTTTTTAAATTTCCTTTTAGACAGATTCATGAGTGAAGGGGTCTATTTTTTAACCTAAAAACCCATGTTGTTTGACGGTTTTTTTTCCGAATAACTTTTATGTCATGAAATGAGTTGAGAAATGTCATGTTCTATTGACGTTTGAGGAAAAAGTATTTGATTGGAAAAATTATTCTTTGTAAAAATGTAACTTAGTTAGGGTGGGTTTATCATCCGTGTAGACCCAATAGAAATCGAATAATAGCTTGTGGAAGATTGGTTCTTATTCATCAAACGCCAAAAATTTCAACGTGAAGTAACCAAAAAATGCATTTTCAGAGAAAACTCATAGAAGCTTTTTTGAAGTGCTTGAAAAACCTTTATTTTTTTTATAAAGGTCCCTATCATCAAAACTAAGCGAGTTGTGACGAAAATAATCTGGGTCCCTATTTTTTTAGGGACAAAAAATACGAAAATCACTCCCTAATTATTACTAACCTCAATTTAAAAAAATTGTTACCACTTTACAATTAATTTTATTTAGGTACATGTAATATAGGTACTCTAGAAGTTTTCAAAAAAATACTTTTTGTACAAAATAACTCAAAGACTATTATGAGACGCAAAATTTTGTTTGGTGCAAAATTGTAGGTTTTGTTTTTCTGAAAATACTGATTCTTTTTTATGTAGGATGGGCAATCAATAGTAACTTGTTCAAGTTCTTTCAGCTTAAATCCATTCAAAAATAAGGGCTAATAGAATATTTAATTTATATGAGCTTATAGCTGTAGAAAAAACCTAAAAAATGGTTTTTTGAAGGACTAGCTGAGAGAGTTTTGGAAAAAAGTTTCACTGAAGGTGATTGTCAAAATAATGCTCCAATTATGTACCAAGAGGAAGGATGAGGCGGAAGTGGAACAAAATGGGAAACGGAAAACGAGGAGGATTTTTGATTATTTTTTGTAATAAAGTAAAAAAATTAAAATCCCTAAAAAATAAAGAAATGTTTATTTAATATACAAGTTGCTTTGTCATTATTTTTTAATGATTACTGTTATTCATCGAAACATGTGTAGAGCACCTGTAACTGCTCACAACACAGCTTGCGTAATTTTGTGGGAAACAACTCCTTAAAGAATAAAAAATCCAATACTGTTTGTATTTTGTACAAATTTTCTGCACTTAAAATCAGAACCAAATATAAATGCGCAAGTAAATGGCATATTGTAGGTGTAGCATTATATAATATATTGTAACTCTTTTAATGTTATACAGGGTTTTCAATATCGGTTGAAACTAAAAATCTCTGAATACAGGGCATAAAAGTTACAGATTCTAAAGGTGTATATAAAAGCTCATCAAAATATTACTATTTTACGAAGAGATTGAACTTCAGATGATGTAAATAAACGCTTACAAATTAACTAAAATTTTAAACAGAAAGCAATTCCTTCCGCGAAAGTATTTTTATTGTAAATATTAACACAAATTCTAGTCATTATATTTAAATCATTTGCGTTAAATGCATGAGTATATAAGTTGATCGTTGTGACTCCACTGTAAATAAAATATTAGAATTATTATTGTTTAAAGAAGATGTTTAATTTATCAATACAGCAGCAACCCGCTATGAGGCTGTGCTCCTTGCACGAGTTCGCGTGGAGAAAGCTGCAGTCGGCAAACTGGCATTGGAACGGTAGCGGATCTACAAAATTTGGTAATCTGTTATGGGTATCGCAAGTAAGCTCTTACAATAGTCGTTGTGCGGACTGCAACAGCAGGAATCGTGGAACATCTTCTCCGAGCAGTAACCGTATACTGAAGAATCGCATATGGGGCAATACCGTCGGTCCATAGCAATGTCTAAAAATATAACGGGTTATTGTGGGATTTTGTGTTGGTTTCGGCACAACCTTTGCAGTAACTAAGCGCTACGGCGCACACTATGAAAAGGAATATTCTTGCCTGTGTTGACATTTTGTGCGTTACTGAGGAACTGGTCACATATTCTTGAAAGGAAAGATGCAAATTAGTAACTGTTCACTTTCAGGTCCTGGTACTGTTATAATGCTTTGAACTTGTTTATTTTCATCAGGTGGGTTGTTTATATGATGACCTTTACGGGAATTTCATTTTGAAGTAATGCATCAGGCATGTTTTGCATGTATAAAGTATGAATAAATAGAAGATTTAACGTTTCTAAAAAATTGATTTTTTTTACATTTTCCCAATTTTTTATACAATGCTTTTTAGGAACTTCAATTTAAATTAATTGGTGCAAATACTTTATTATTACAATTGCTTTAGGTGACCTGATATGGCACAGTTTTCTTTCCTAGAGGGTAAGCCAACGGGCCGGGTAATACCAGGGAAACTACTTGCTTTATTGTTAAAGTGCATTGCATGTACTTTACAAATAAATTTTGTAATGATTGAACTATATACCTAACATATTTTTGTGCAGACAAGAGTACACGCGTGTTTATCTGTTTATCAGCAATAGAAAGAGATTTGGGACAGTAAAGGCAATACAAGACTTGAGTTGTCAAATAATAAAAGGAAATTAAATTTAGTGTCATTGAGCATGTCTTGCATAACAGTAGAATCTTAGGAGCTTCTGTACCTTCAGCATCTTCAAAAAGCTATCTTTTGTTGACCTTGAATCAATTTTTAATAGTAGAAAGTTGGTCGGAGCTGGAACAGAAGTGGGGACATTTTTGGATTCTATGCACCCAATTTATTGTAGTATTTGCGTTAAATTGGGAAAATGGGAATTTTTGAATTTAACAGAAACTGGTTTCTTTGTAGCGCACAAATTTGGGTCACCTGGCACTTCCGGTTCCAGAACAGACCCAAAAGCTCAGGTTATACGTATTGTTTTAGAAACCGTAAATCGCAATCACAAGTTAAAATGAAGTTGGTACATTCGGAAGGGGTCATGTCCGTTTTTTAGAATGTCTAGCTCGAGCTAGGTCAATGTTTTTTTGGACGTGAAGATTTCATCAAATGCAGACATGCAATTTTTTTCAGTGTATGTGTGTACAGTCATTGACAAAAGTAATGATCGCAGTACCTATATGCAACCAACATCTCAATATATTGTAAAACTTGGAAATGAGAGCCAACAGTTTAAGGTATCTCTTTCTTGAAAAAGCCGACGGAGCCCGATGTGATAAGGCATGGCATGTTGTTGCTGTGCCTACTTTAGGCGATCATTACTTTTGTCAATGAAGGCAACGAAAATAGCGGGACCTCTTAAAAAAAAAAAGGCCCGTGGTTATATACCTGTAATATTTAAGTTGGAAAAAAGCATGTAACGAACGTAGTAGAAGTAGTATTATTTAATCTTCGAATAAATGTTATATAGGTAGAAATTACAAGGTACTAGACTAGTTATTATTTAACATACTAAGTAAATAGTACAAGAAGCCACGTTAGGAAGATCATCGGTGTCCTCATGGAGCACTGGATGGTCAACTATCACCTGCCTAACATAATGGGTAAAGGAGAGCCCACATACAGGTTCTGTGGTCCCCTTATGTGAATAGACTAGAATAGCCTCAGAGTCTCAAATAATGTCTAGAATTTTGTAAACGTTTTGAGAACCTTTAATACAATAAAACAATGACGGGACGGGAAATATACTAATACATAATGATATAAAAATATCACCCGTGGGTATATCACATGTTTTTACAGCCATAAATGTATTCATTGATGGTGTAATAGCATGATACTACAACTTAACACAGTAGTATCATGGTGTAATTATAGTAACAAGTTAAAAAGTAATCGTAAACGATTTACATAAAGCGCATTTCCACTTGCATTCATTTCCCATTTGTAAGATGCAACTTGTTAAAATCGTAAAAATCCGACCACAAATATGAAAGATAGCGTTGCACATGGGCAATCCATTTTTGACGTGCTATTTCAATTTCAGTTGAATTTCATTTAAATGCTTTTCTAAATAAGAAAGTTGGAAGATTTTCCTTTGTTCCAAGCGCCTAAGTATCAAATTTCACTTAAATGCTTCCATAGATAAAAAAGTTGGCACTGCGCATGCGCAAAATAAAATTTTGAAACTGGCGCTAGATTTTCCTTTATTCCAAGTGCCTATGTATCACATTTCATTTAAATTCTTCCATAAATAAAAAAAGTTCGCACTGCGCATGCGCAAAACCAAATTTTGAAACTGGCGTTAGATTTTCCTTTATTTCAAGTGCCTATGTATCAAATTTCATTCAAATACTTTTATAAGTAAAAAAGTTTGCAATTCGGTTTATAAATGGTCGAGATGCGAAAAGGGCAATGTGAATTTTGAATCGATTCGATTCAACTTTTGGCATTGCGTATTATATGGCTAAAGCTATGCCCATATTGAATTTCATGCAATTCAAACGGCAAAAGTGTAAAATTATGGAACATGTAAAAAATGGTTTTTTTGTTTTTTTTTACCATAACATTTTGTAAGCGGTACAGAAAAAATTCCTTCCTTGGTACAAGACTCAACACCATAACGAACCAAATAGCGAAAAAAGTAGAACAATAGCTCTTAAGATAAAGAACTAGTAGGGTCGCAAAACGAGCGTACGGACGGACGGACAAAATGGCCACAATAGCGCATTTTTTGTTTATTTTTGTGGAAATGCGCTAAAAATCGTTTAGTTTCCATGCGGAATTCTGCCACTGAATGGCATAGTTTGTAGTGGTCGGCTAGAGCATTATACAGGGTGTAGCACCTAAGATTCCTCGGATCATAAATCTTTTACCATACCTAAAAGATACCGAAAAAAGCATCCTATCTTTGATTATCTCAATTTACGGTAGCGCTTTGGTCACCTTTAGATTAGGTTTGATCTCGGGTTTGATGTACTGTCCCGTTCTTTTTTTCCAGGAATCAATTTCACGTAGCGATGTTGGCATACCGAATTCAAAACAGCCCGATTATCCTCTTCTAAAATAACAAATCATTGCAATTAATTCGCGTATGACGTAGGTTAATTTCCACGCAATTTAGCATTTTCAATTACACTCTTACATGCCTTATCTTGCATTGATACATTCCATTCTAAAAATACGCTTGCTAATATGAATTTATCTAATGTGCAAAAAAATCCTCTACATTAGGAATAAAACGCAATCAAATTTATATTGAAAATAGCCTGTTATCATTTCGGTGGGTAGGGGTAGGGTTTGGTTTTGCGGATGATTTTCTTCGAGATTGGGTATTGTTGCATGGTGTCTGAATTCAAGTTTAGCAAGTGAGGCGTTGTTCTCTTCATGGTATAGATGTCAATTTTACGAGGGGACCTATTAAAACAAAAGGTTAACGCTGATTTTATATAAGGGTAATTTTTATTGTTAAAAAAAAGCGATTTTTGGGGGTGATGCAAATTTACATTTACAACTATTACCAGTGGCGTTTCATACACTACGCGCCTTTTTAGGAAATAAAATCGCCAAATTTTAAATTGAGTTTAGCGGACAATGGTCGGGTGCATCAATGATAGTACTAAATAATGTCGGACCACCTGACTAGAATGACCACTTACTTTGTTCGTGATGGTTTTCCAGCTTTCTTTGACCCTGGAAGGAACTTTATGGCATGAGTGAATAATTTACCACAGAGTGCAATACATTTTATTTTTTTGTATCTTAGGCTTAGCCATCATATACACACTTACATAATTTAAACAAATTTAAAATATAAATACTCTACTTAAAACTCTTTAATATACCACAGTAATGAAGAGCGCACGTCGCCAAAGATTTTTAATTCTTGTACATGTCGCATAACACCTTTTCCATTGGGGTGTTGCCTATAGTTTTTTGAAAAAATACGGCTTCCACCCTAATGGCTGGAACAATTCTTAATAAAGGTAACATTAATAATAGTCTTCCGAAACGCGCGACTTGCGCCGGCAATTGTGTACGGCAATGCTGCCACAGCATAACTTGCGCTTGATCTTGTAAATTTTCTATTTGGCTTGGGTCTTTTAATCCACGCGTCTCTGTAAATATGGCATTAAAGTGGCCACAAAATTAAAATCGATACCACTCACCTGCCCTGAAAAGCACGATCGCCTTTAAACAGGCAAACTCGGCAGGGTCCACGTGAACAGCTTTAAACCGCATTAAAGTATCACATAATATTCGTACATCCGCAGCACCTTGTCCGTTCTTCGTGTGCTCGTTGGGGTTAAATAGCGAACTTGAGACGGCATCGAGCGGCATACACCACTGGATGGCGTTTAAAAGAAACAACTCGCTCCACGCCTCCTCCAATAAAATCACCTTTGGCGTCAATAATTAACAGGCGGCAAAATGAAACAGGGGGGCTCACCTGATCGCGAAATGGTAAACTGGCGAAGCTGGGTAAGTTTTTGGCCCACTTCACCGCCATGAACAGTAGTCTAGCTGAGGTTTCATAAATTGTTTCGTGCGTACTTGGGTAGATGCCTATGGTTGATAGACCCGAAGTGATTTGATGGGGTTCATGACGGAAAGGTCCGCTACTCGAAGAGACGCCGCAGCCGGATGACGGGGCGTCCTCTTCTTCGTTTGTAACATCTATACTTTCCTCTGCAAAATTACAATTAAATTGTGATTACGCCGATATTAAAATTTTGTATTCGGTTTTTCCCTCGTTGCTCTGTGACATAAGCCTTTAGAGCGCATTTAAATTTAACTCCACAGTCCCTAAAGAGTAATTAGTAGGTAGCTGAATTAATTTGGGCGTTTTTGTAATGCGAAGAACTTACCGTCGTTGTCGCTTGTCTCCTGCTTCGGACTTGGTTCGCGATTGATCACAGGCGGTGGAGGAACTGGAGGTAACAAGCTAGGCCCGTATCTAACCGGCGAGGATAATGCCATCGTTAATGACACCGGCGGCCTGTAAACGAACGTAATATCAAAAAGAAAATCGATGAAATTATAAAACCCCCGCGGGCTGTGATATTACGACGTGTGAGATTTTATCATACGCTACAACTTCAAAGACATTTTTGCAGTACCTGAACTTTAAAGCTACACCGAACGGCGGCTTTTCAGTTTTGCCACCAACAAAGGGCTTTTGATCGATGTTGTCATTTCGTACCTCACATTAACTCCTTGATGTAATCGGGTCTGTGTCTATTTTCATCCCGCATTACTTCCGCACCTTTTCCGATTTATACCCATACTCAAGCGCCAATAAATATCTTTATAACAAGGATGACAGAGTTTGCTATCAATATATCATATATCGAATTCTGAATTAAATGAGTCGAAAGGGTTTTGGATCGTATACCTATAGGTAAATGTTTTTTTTTTTTGTATTTGTAGTGCAGTAAGAACCAACAAAGAGTTTGATCGATTTTCAGGGGAATTTCAGAAAATGACACCTACAGGAGCGGTGCACCCGTTTTCCGCCCCGAAGTTCATACCGGAAGTTATCACCGCACCGTACATTTAAGTCGACCAGCTTTGCTGAACACCCGGTATCGAATTTAAACTTCGTATCGCCTTAGAATTAAAAAAAACTGAATACCAAACGATCCTCGAGATGCTTCTTGGTTAGAAATCGACATTTTAGAGAAGATTACAAATTCAAAAAACTGCACTTTCTGAATGTAAACACAGCAGAATAATTTACAAATTACGGCTGTAGGTCTACCTAAAAGTGTAGGGTGCTTTTCCATTTTAATTAATTAATTAATTAATCTCGTTTTCCCAATAATTGAGGTTAACGGTTCACTGGCCTCTTTGAGTGTTAATTGGCTACATTTTCATAAAGAAAAAGTCATATCATTCCATTTGATGTTGATTTTTTTAGGATATTAAATTATAGTGTCAAAACTAGCCCCCTGGTGGAGAAGGATTCAACTAAATTAACTATATTCTTGTTGCCCAAGGAATGCTCTTTTCAACGATACCAAATTTGTTACAATCGGTCAAACGGTTAAGAAGTTAAATCAGGTTATTGTAAAAACAATTGAACGCCCCACGCCATCTTTGTTTTTGAAATAACTGAGTTTTTGTTTTTATGAAAATGATAAACTGGTTCTCTTTAAAAATGTGAAAAACAAATGTTTAGTTTATTATGCGAAATTTAAAGGAAATGTAATTTTTAAAATTTAAGATGGCTGTTACGCCTTGTGGTGGTCATTTTTAGAACTTGAAAATTTTTCCCAGCGATTCCTCATAACCGATTTACCCAATAATTTTTTTACTCCCAAGTCATACGACGAACGGTTCCCGAGATATGGCCGAGGAACAGTCTTATTGGATCACCCGGTACAAAATTTCATTTAAATAACAAATAAAAAAATGGGATTGCCAAAATACAAAAGTTGGGTTGCGCATGCGCAATTTTTTTTATTCATCTGAATAAGTTACCTGAGAGAATTATAAAATTATACAAGAAATCCTTTTTTGGAGGTTTGGGCTGTAACTTTTTGCCCGAAAAACAATATTTTCTCATTTTCCGGTAAAATTTTCGCATGTTTTAATATCCTATGTCCTATGTACCGAATAGTCTAGATATCTCGACAGACATCGAGGCGCCATAAAATATTAGTCATCGACGATAAGAAACGAAAGCGGATGTGACGCATTATTTCCGGGAAATATGAGTGTTTGTTCGAGAACATTCTAGAATACTCGGGAGCGCTCGGAAACGTTCGAGATAGAGGGGCGTTTGCTATATAAGCAAATCAAATTGTGTTTCAGTCAGTTCTAATACTGATATCGATGTGAAATATTAGCGTCGCTGTACCCATTTTTTGTACGGAACTTTGGCGCTTATTAATTCTTCACGTCACTCGCGCTTTCACGATTTTAAATTCGCAATCACTAGTCAGTTAGGTAAGTACTTTGACGTACTCGCAGACTACACCATCTTACATTCCATACAGACTAAAAATAATATACACTGTTGTATTTAACGCTATTGGTACCTCCACTGTAAACATTTTTCTTTTTGCAGGAAGCAAGAAATTTGTAATTCACTTTGAAGTGGAAAAATGGTAACCAGTTTCAAGGAAATGGATTTCTACGGGTGCAGGCATCATGCGTTGGTTTTAAGTCCGTATGGAGTTGGTGTAATCGTGACCACTAGACGCGTAAGTAGAAAAGGTTCACTGTAATGGGTGGTAACGCTTCTGTTGCTTTAAATTTGTATTTTGTTAAACATAGGAAAATTTCCACATGTACCGCTTCATAGTAAACTTGAACTAAAGTAAGTCTGGGAAAGCGAACCCAGTTGCCACGATCTCGTCGGCACTAAAAGTTTATCCCTCTGATGAAAAAGCTGCAATACCGGTTTTATATAAGTTGTTAGGGCACGCCGGTCGAGGTCATTGCGTTCAGAAAAGAGGACCCGTTTCGGTTTTTCTAACGGGCGAGAAAAGTGGGCGAGCATAGCAATTTGTGTACGCTAATTATTATTATTCTTGGTTTATTTCAAGTAAAAACGAAAGGTGAAATCTATCCGAATAGTAGTAACGAATTAGCAGCTTAACTTCGGGCAAAAAGCTCCTAGATTTCGAGTACGTCGTGGAGGAACTTTTCGTTGAGAGTTATCTGCAATTTTCTATGTGTTTAAATAAACGAATTACAGTAGATTCTCAGACAAAGAAAATTTTGTTAGCAGCCTGATCAGTAGCAAGGCCTTTTACTTACGAGTGGTAAAATATACGTGAAGGAACATTTTCAAGTCAACTAAATTGAAATTAAACTTATTGTGATAAACAAAGAAATAAGGACTGGTTAAAAGTAAGTTGAGTGACATCACGGTGCGAGTAATAAAAATTTTGTATACAGCGGCATAATTTAAAGACAATTAATCGGTGCATTTTACCTGTAACAAAATCTGGTTAATAAATTGCGCAAAATTAATATCGACACAGCGAAACATTGGCTTATTATTCCTGTGCGTAGTCACGATCTCGAGTATTATTTTCGCGAATTTGAAACCGGTATGTCTGGACTCGCGATTCATACGATTTTTTCTGCCGCGAAATTTGGCATTCAGGGTGGTTCAGAAACAAGCGATCTGTTTCCAATATTGCTAAGGGAATCGGCATTTTTTAAGGAGAGATAAGATCAAGTGACCGGTTATTTTTTTGCATATTAAATTTGTTTGAAATAATTTTAATATTCCTAAAGGAATCGACCCGTGAGAATTACTTGCATGAAACAAATTTATATATTATTGAATCCAATTGTAGTGAGTTTATTGAATCCAAACAAAGGATTTGGTTTATTTTTCTTCACTGATTAGGGATTTTGTATTTAATTTCAGTGATATTATTTAGTCCTTTGGTTGGTGTGTATATTTTAAACAGGAGAATTGACCAGGAATTTATTATGTATTAAAAAATGACAGTTTAGATAAGGATCAAATCTAACACGAGATAGGCATTGCATTTTTTTGTATTTCTTTTTATGAATCAAATCAATATTTTATATTGAAGGAAGGAACATATGAAGAAAAATCCAAATTGACCGGATAAGTAGAACAGCCCCCCTCCCCTCCCTCTTTATCGCATAACAGAAATGAACTTTCTTAAGAATACATAAACAATCGAATAAGAATCGAGTCAATCTGTGAATTATTATTATTGCAAATAAAAATTAGTGAAATATTGAATAGTTAAGGGCAGTGGTGTAACTACAATGCCTCAAAGCTGCGCAATGGGGGCGAGCCCCGACTTAAAAGGGGCCTCGGCAAAAAATGTACAAAAAATTTAATTCGTTTATAAAAAATTCTGAAAAAACTCCTTCAATGGTATGCTTCTATTAATTATTTACCTACATATGATTTTACTTAGGAAGAGATAAAACGTAAAAAGCGTAATGCAAATGCTGGCTAATGTTTTATTTACGAAGGGCCATGCACATGCTTCCTTTTACAGTTTACAGTTACAGTCCGAAGAAAATTCTGAATCATTGTTCACGTAGGGCAAATATAGGTGAAAAATCTGGAGCAATATCTGCAATATACAAAAATTAACAATCCGAGGAAGTAACCCTTGAATTTGAATAATTTAAATCTGACTTTAATCTAATACAAAATTTGATTTGCTCAAAAGTAGCCAGCTCAAATAGATTTAAAAGCAACCCCACTCCTTTCCCATTTGTGAAAAATAACACTCCGAAGTCTCTTAAATAAAGTCGAGCATAAAGTAAATGAAATACTTTGTTAATTAGCGGGACCTTCTCCGATCCAGAAGGTATCTGAAGGTCCTGGATAGGTAACCTTGGACTGAAGTTGTATTTCGAAATGAATAGCGCTAAGTGATTTTAACACTCCAGCATTTAAAAAAAGGCAAACTAAATGAGTTAAACATCAAAGGAACTGACCAATATTAAACAAATAAGGATAAAGTAAAACAATTAAATAACAAACAAATTCAAGGGTTACCCTGTACCCCTAGTTACAAATAGCTGAAGTCAATACAAGTTACAATAAAACGAAGAGTTACAAGTACATTATTACCTTTTGTTATGGCACAAATATTACACAAACCTTGACAATTAAAGTTCGAACAAAATCAACTGGACTCTGACTGACGGCAGTCGCTAAATCTTACAATGGACCTGTCAACCAATGAATTACAAAAGGCAAAATCAGTAAAGCTAAATCAAGTCACTATTTTTTACATATACAGATTAACATCGTTTAAAAATTACTGATATAAGAAAAAAATATTTTTGAAGATGGGCCTCTAAAATGAAGTTCCGCCACTGGTTAAGGGTAAACCCTTTGATTCCACATGATATAAGTTAAATAATCCCAGTAAAAAGGGAACGGGAGATGAGAGAAAGGGATGCTATATTGCAAATTTAATTTTTGTTAAATGACAAATTATGCATTTCAAATTTCGCAAAGAAAAAAAGTAGAACATTCAAACGAAAGAAAAAAGGTTCTGTACTTGCATATAACATTTTCCCTTATTTCTTTACAAGTATTGACACACAGATAATAATTACGTAAACTCTAGGATAACCTTATCTTTTGATAATCATCGATTATTGTTAAAAATAGTAATTTTTGGGTTTTAGAAACATGCATCTACCCTTGACATATGTCCATTATTGTAGTTTTGTCTATCTTTAGTTTAAAAATGAATTCAGTTTAAGGCCTATGTAATGTAAGAGGGATGCTAAGCACAATTTTATTGTTCTAATGGAGCCATACCATGTTTTCTTATGGAACGCACATTTGATTAGAAATGAAGGAAATCGGAAAGAAATACAAAGGAATTTATAAGAAATATTTTCTATGAAAAAGTCGGGTCCGTTAACTTGGCCCCCCCACTGAGAGATTTCATAGTCGTATTATTTTGAAATGAATGCGCTCGTTATGGGCTCATATGCGCCACCGATAATAACTCTTGCGCCATTATCGTTTTTTTAGAAATCCGAAAAAACATTTGCGGGGGGCCAAGTGAACGTAGCCCCCCCCCCCCCCGTACGTATTTTGTCCCTTGTAACTAGGTCACCTGATACATTTGGTTATGCGCTTAATTGCGCCACTTGAATTAAAGCTAGCGCCATTACGGTTAAGCCGTGACAAATTTTCAAAAAGTGGGGGGGGGGCCAACTTAACGTTTTTAAAAGTTACTTTTTTTTAACATCTTTTCATACGAAATTGTACTCTCAGGTATGCGCTGAAATGCGCCGTAAAAAGATATCTTTGCGCCATTATTGTTTTTTTGGTTATCCTTAAATATATTTGGGGGGGGGGGGCAAGTGAACGGAATCCCCCATAACGCATTTTGCTACCGGTATTTGTGCCACTTGATACATCTGGTTATGAGCTCAATTGCGCCACTTGAATTAAAGCTAGCGCCATTACGGTTAAGCCATAAAAAATTTTTAAAAAATGGGGGAGGGGGGGCTAACTTAACGTTTTCAAAAGTTACGTTTTTTAACATGTTTTTTCTACTACATCGTACCTTTCATCATGCGCTAAAATGCGCCGTAAACAAAAATCTTGGCGCCATTATAGTGTTTCAGAAACACTATACAGGGTGTTTTTTTTGGGAGCTTTAGTTAAACGATTCTGGGAAAATAAAATAGGTAGGTTTTAAAAAATTTGTATTTAGGAGTTACTCCGAAGGCCGAATCGATGTAAAATATTTTCAAAATGGACGCACTTCCGGAAATAATTTTTGAAAACGCTAAGTTAGACCCTCCACGTTTTAAAAATTTTTTATGGCTTAACCGTAATGGCGCTAGCTTTAATTCAAATGGCGCAATTGAGCTCATAACCAGATGTATCAAGTGGCACAAATACCGGTAGCAAAATGCGTTATGGGGGATTCCGTTCACTTGCCCCCCCCCTCCCAAATATATTTAAGGATAACCAAAAACAATAATGGCNCTAAAATGCGCCGTAAACAAAAGCGCATTCATTTCAAAATAATACGACTATGAAATCTCTCAGTGGGGGGGCCAAGTTAACCCGAAAAAGTCTGCGACAACTCAAACCGTTTAGGAATAATAAGCATTTAAATGTGTATAATGTTTATTCCTGTTCAAAGTCACATATTTTTCATTTATTTAAGTTCGTATATGAACACTGTCAAAATGATACGAGATAATTTTTATGTAAATAATAGGCCATGTCAATCGGCTATCAATAATAAATACCGCGCGATCGTGATTTTCGCAAGAAAACATCATACGACGCCGTTAGCGCATCTCTTTCTTATCGGTATTGGTCGAAACACATAATTGCACAAAAATTATATGATAGAACAATGAGCCCAAAATTATTAGATATTCAGAAATGGGATATTTCGATTCCTAGCACACGAGTAAAATTTTCCTTTTGAAAATTATTCAGTTCAAGGGTACTGCACAACATGTCTTCATTTTTGGGTGGGTAAATAGGTAGTTTCCGAGCCGATAATTATACATACCCAAAAACACCAACAGCGACGGCCGCCTCTCGAAGTGCCCTTTCCTGTTCCGCACTCATTTCTCGGAGGGATTCCGGTCGAATAGTGGCAGTGTTTCGGGGTTGTCTTTCATTTTGCACAGCTAGAAGATCATAAGAAGCTATAATTGCTGAAAACAATGTAAAGAACACTGTAGCGATAGTGCAATTACGCTAGATCGTCGTCATAATGATCGGTTTAGCGAGGTGGCTTTAAATGGAGCGTGATAAAATTACAGCTAAAAATATTAAATCGTGGCCACAAGCTGTATCATATTTTCACGCAGGGGCTGGTATTTGCGTGCCAAATTACCCCTTTTTCGGCGAAATGGTTGGCACGTGTAAAGCGCGCGTGTTACCCTTTTATTTGATGCGCGCATGTAAAATAATTGAGCGTTATATTTAAATGATGTGCTCTTTATCTGGGGCTTTCTTGTTCAATTTGCCATTTTAAATGAAGATCGGGTGTAGTATTTAAAAGCGGGCCAGATAAGAGAAAATTTATTTTCGCGTTTATAAACCACAAAGAAATTCTCAACGGACAACTTTTCAGTTTTCCTTTGGTTATTACTCATTCAAATTTAGAAAATCCTTTGTGTTGCTCAAGTTACCCTTAAAAATAATTTCCGCACCGTGTGGTCGGTACACAAAGACGCGAAATAAAACAGTTAACGAGTCAAGCACGTCGGTTTGGCGTCGTTTTTGAAAACTTGAAGCGCGCTCTCCTTATTTATCTTTATAAATTAAAAAAGGATCAAGAGAAATCCAAACTTACGTGCATTAAATCCGAGATTGCTTGAGGTATAATTGGTAGAGTTAGAGTGACAAAGGATGAGATGCAAATGTAGAGGGTGTCAGAGGCGTGGGTGACGCTAAGCGTCGGTCGCGTCGTGTGTTCGCTTAAGGCTTGCTTTATACTCTGCTTATTGGCTTCGTTTATTTGTATTTGATAAGGCACGCCTTTCTTGCACCTTTGTCAAAAGAATTAATCATATCGCTTTTTACTCAAGATAGGTAGGTACGTAAGCGACAGGGGCATTACAAAAGAAAAATTCTAAATCTGCTCCGGTAATAAATTGAGGCGGAATTCTCCTTAATCTGGAAGATACAGAGCAGAGGATCAAAAACAATTTCACTTTAGCAAATCACAGAACTCCATGACCATTTCGCAGCCATCAATTTAAGATTGTAAATTACAGAAGTGTAATACGCATGCGATTTTAGTCCCCGTTTTTAGAATGGCACTTTTGGGGAATAAACGTTCGGGAAACAACACAAGTTTATTGAGGCTTAGTCATATTCTAATGCAGCATCCCCGGGAGTTTTGGTAGAGCGTTTGGTGGGAATTAACCGGCTTTGAATCGCATTAATCAGCGTCTTCTAAATCCCTGCTATGGCTGTTTGTTGCAGATCTCGCTTTTCCATCTTTCTCGCTTCACTCGGCGCCGGTAACGCACCGTTCGGAAAATGAAAAGGGGAGAATCTGCGATCTACCGCTGGACAAAACTAATTTTAAATGCCGTAATTAATCCGCTAAAAAATAACGTTTGCGTCTCCCCCTAGGTCAGATTTTATTATAAAGCACAAAGATATAGGACGAGCGAAATTCCCCAGCTTACTCAGTATGCAGAAAACGCAAGCATTGAGGAACTTCTCAGTTTTGTAATGTTCATAGAGAGCTTTCTCACTTCTCTTAGGACCTCTCACGCTTTATCCTTTCTATCCCCCCCTTTTGCTAACGGTCGTACTCAGTTTAGGTAAAATTCATTTCGTCAAGACGATATTATCCGAAAATTAACATCCCTCGCTTATTCGTTACGGATAACATTAAATTGAGGTTAGTGTAATTTATTTACTTACCGTCTTTGTTCATCCCCATTGAAAGACACTTTTTTAATCGACACGCCTGGCATTGATTTCGGTGCGCTTTGTCAACTATGCAACGTCCTGTCCCTGCCTGGCACCTGGAATAAATGAAGGATTAACATTTCTTCAACTCTTTCTAAAAGTAGGTATATATGAATCTTAAAAATCTAAAAAAAAGAGATTTCGAAGAATTTGAAACGGACGAAAAGTCCTAATTATCTGAAGAGTACGGAAAGGATTCGAAAATCTAAAGAAGTACGTGTAGACAATAGTTCAACAATACAGTGTGTCTTAAATTGAGTAGGATGGCATGGCTATCTTTGTTATTTTTATACTTACAGATTTGGATTCGATTTATTTTTATCAAAATATCGCATCGGAATATCCATCAGCATCAAAAACTACACAATTTTGCCAATTTAACCGAATCTGGATAACAAAGATAGCATAGTTATCCTACTCAATTTGAGACACCCTGTATATTCGTATAGTCTATAATCAATGTTGCAGGATGGAATATTGTCAAAAAATCTTCTAGAATATCCATCGGTGTAATTTTCTTCTCAAAATGGATCCACCGAGCTTTCATAATCCAGTTTCATGGGGAAGGTTTCGTGTCAACTTTTGTTGAAGATAATTTGTTAAAATGATTGATACGTGAATTCGGATCAAGTAATTAAAAGTAATTTTCTAATGTCAGATATAATAAAAGTCATTGTTCATATAGTTTTCAATAAACTTATAATTTAATAACGATAATAACTGTGTAATAAGTGCTAATCATTTCCTGAATCCTGCAATAATCCAAGAGGTTATGGGCCCAGACCAGGAAGTTGTGGAAATAAATTAGTTACATCGTAATAACTGGACGAACATACGTGGGAAACATTTTTTAATTTGAAGAAAAAATGACATCGTATGGACCAGCAAAAATTGAACCACTGACACACGAAAATTATCGTTCATGATGTCGTCAAATGAAGGCGATTTTAAATCTGAATGACTTATGGGAATTCACATCAGGAGAAAATGTGAAACCAGAATTACAAATCGAAGAAAATGGAAAATTCAACAGCAGCATCAACAATTGCAAGAAAAGTCTGGTTGAAAAAGGATGAGCATGCACAATCCTTGATAACTCTTGCAATGACCGGTGAGCAAATTGAATTAACCAATGATTGTCAGACGTCAAAAGAAATGTGGGATAAACTGCAGAAAATGACGCAAGGACCACTTAGAAAATCCATGATGATCAGAAAATTAGCGGTAACGAGACTAGAAGACGGAGAGGATGTTAGGAAACATTTAAATGAGATGTTTACAACGTGGCAGAAACTCAAAGAACTGTCACTGGAAATTAGTAAGGAATTATTTTCTTATCTCGTTTTACTAAGCCTTCCGCCAAGTTTTGAGGTATTCTGCACCACAATGGAGTCTCAAGACACATTACCGGACCCCGAAGAACTGAGAATCAAAATCATTGAATGTCGAGATTCAAGGAAGCACCATGCAGAAACAGGAATAAAAAATGCCATGGTCGCAAAGAAGAATTTCGATAAAAAGTCATCGGAGGAAATTGAAAAGGAAAAGAAATTTCCGTATAAATGCAACCGCTGTAGAAAGAAAGGACACATGGCCAAATTTTGTAACCGAAAAGGAAAGCAAGACAATTCCGCTAAAGCAAACAACGTGGAAGCTACAACAATGTACTCTGAAGTTGTACCAGAAGCTTTTGGAGGATTACTCAATTATGGGAAAAACAATTGGTGTGTTGATAGCGGATGTACGTCACATTTATGTAAAGATGAGGAAAGTTTCACAAAACTGCAAAACACAAATGGAGGGAAACTGAAACTCGCCAGCAATTCATCTACAGAGATCAAAGGAAAAGGAACAGTGGAAATTAAGTCGAATTTTGACGGAAAAGTCAAGGAAATAAAAATTCAAGATACGTTCTACGTTCCAGATTTGAGAATGAATCTCCTATCTGTGGGAAAAATAACAGACAAGGGGATGATAGTCACTTTCAATGATAAAACCGCAGATATCGTAGACAAGAAAACTGGGAAGTTGATTCTCCAAGCAAGGAGAATAAACGAATTGTACATAATTGAAGAAGAAACGAATGAATGCAATTCTGTACCAGAAGTGACGACGAAAGAATCGAGACTAAATAAAATCGAAATATGGCATCGAAGATTGGGTCACGTAAACTTTAAAGATCTTCAAGAAGGTTCGAGAAAGGGTACTATTAGAGGTATTGACATCAATGCAGCCAGGGATGGTCTCGAATGCGAAATCTGTATTCAAGGAAAAATGACAAGAACTCCATTTCCTATACGAGAAAAGAAATCAGAAGAATTACTAGAAATAATTCATTCAGATGTCTGGGGACCAGCCAGAGTAGAATCAAATGGAAAAGCAAAATATTTTGTAATATTCATCGAGTATTCTGGATGGTGTGTGGTAAAGCTTTTAAAGAATAAAAGTGACGTTTTCAACGCGTTTAAAGATTACAAAGTACTGGTTGAAAATCAGACAGGAAAGAAAATTAAATATTTACAATCCGATAATGGAAAAGAATACGTAAATAAAGTCTTTGATGAATATTTGAGAACAAATGGAATTAATAGACGATTAACCGTCACACACACAACACAACAAAATGGGATCGCCGAAAGAAGAAATCGAACACTGGTAGAAATGGCACGATGTATGTTGATACAATCTAGATTACTTCAATCGTTCTGGGGCGAAGCAATCAACACAGTCAACTACACCAGAAATCGATGTCCATCGAGAAGTTTGGGAGGAAAAACACCACACGAGCTTTGGACTGGAAAAATACCGAACGTTAATTATTTTCGAGAATTTGGATGCAAAGTATATACTCGAAACAGGGAACAAAATCCAGGAAAATTCGAGGCTCGATCTAAAGCGGGAATATTTGTCGGGTATGCAGAAATATCCAAGGCGTACAGAGTGTGGATCCCAGAAGAGAGAAAAATTGAAAGAATTGAGAAGAAAATTACACTGATGGATATTCTAGAAAATTTTAATGCCCACCGAGCATTCACGATCCACAATTTTTTTAAGTTTCATGGAGGAGATTTCGTGTCAACTTTAAACTTTATTGTCAAAAACGTGAGTCCTCGTGAGAGAATTTATTGTGACGATTGAATTGTATTGTGTGAAGGGTGCCATCAAACAAAAGTTTTAATCATGGTTTAAAAGAAAATAGGTGTATCTTTAGTATAAGCAGAAAGTGAATCCAGTTTTTGGTCGATGCAGTTCAAGAGAGACGCAAGCTCGGGTGCAATTGCGATACCACTAACGGATTCTTAGGGTGATTTTTTTGGAAAATTACGACACTTCATTGGATTCAAAATTTAGGATTTTATTTTATAGCAGAAATTTGTCTTCTGAAAAAGCTGTAGGTAAATAGCTTATGTTATCACGGCATTACCATGACAACAATTTTGTTTTCTGTTCTAAACTTCATTTTATTTCGTGCTTGGCGTTCCATTTTCAATAAGAATGGCATAATGTCATTAGAATACCCACAATCATTTGATTCACTTTATCTACCCTTGCCGTTAAAGTGATCAGTTCATGTATTCTTAACTATTAAAGAGACACTTGGCCTTGGGCTTGTATAAATGTCATCTGTAACGCGACATTTTACGAGCACACAGCCGATTCCGAACAAAAGCGAAATCAGTACCTATTCCCGTAACACTGGCACGCTTTAACTCAGGTCCGGTCAATGCGGTTACCAACTACTAAAATATCAAATTATGTGGTTTTTTAGCGCACTTTTTAAGAATTAAAAAAATGTGCTATTGTTTGCGTTCTGTCCGTCCGTCCGGACCCACTTCTGCCGTTTTGAACTACTTCTAGGGGATTGGTCTTAGAGACCTGGAATTTTTTGCAGTAGATAGCCTGTACCATGAAGGTGTGCTAGACGGTCATCAAATTTCGCTGTCTAAAAGGCCCCCCCCCCCACGAATTATTTCCTGAGATGTTGTTTTTGAAAGTAAAACGTGCATAACTTAACAATTAGTCTCAGATTTTGTATACGCAACTACTGCCCTTCTTTCTGTCTTCTTATCAAAGTACGGGGTGGAGGGGGAGGGGGTGGAACTAATTTTATCCTTCATGGTACTTTGATGAGAGGTCTCAACGATAGGAATTAATTTCTACCACTCTCCTCCTCGACCTCTTATCGTGATATCGGGTGACCCCCTCCAGATTTTTGTGATACGTCGTTGGAAAGCTCTGAAAAAATGCTTTCCAACTATAGCGAATAGCATTACATTTAGGTTAGTAATTATCGTGCAAATAAAAAAATATACGGTTTGATTTTTCAGAGCTTTCCAACGACGTATCACACACGGGGAGTTACTATTTAAGATTTAAAAGTTGAGGTGGCTGGGGCGCAGGGGGTTGGAGGGGGTGCGTCGGCAACTATGTCATTGTGATTCCACCTCCGAATTACCGAAACGGATTTTGATTTTTTTAAAAATATATCGTTTATTTACTAAGACATGGGGGGTGGTAAGTTTTCAAATTGCCACCCTGTATATAGGTGTTATTGAATATATCTGTACTTTGAATTACAAACAAATAACTGAAATAACTGTTTCATTTTTAGAGAAATATACTCTTTTTTTTATTAATATTGCTGCATCATTACCTCAACAGGAGGTGATGGATGGGGCTATATCTAATTTTACTTTTGAGAATATATTTATACGTTATGAAATTCAGAAGTAGTTTTCCAAAATAATAAAAGACATCAATTTCAAATAACGTATTTCAAGTTTATTTTTCAGTGATCCCCCCCCCCCCCTAGGTACGATCATGAAATTGATAGAAATGGCTAGAGGGCATCTTAATTAAGAGTTTTCAACGACAAAAATTTGCGGGCGAAGCCCTAAATAAGTTCACATAATTTCGTCGGAATGTGAGGTTATGTTACTCCATAGTTCGTGATTACTGATTACTTATAAGTTGCGCCATGACATTTTATAGTAATAAATAAAGTTACGTGTCGGTAAGTTTGTTTACACGTCAGTTTTATCCTTTGAAACGATCGCTACTTAGTAATACAATGGTTCGTTTTCATGAATTCACAATTCCTGGGCAGTTTATAGCCATATCAGACACCTTGGTGCCACAATTAATGGTAAGCAGCATCGCGAAGATGAAGACCAACAGATAAGGACCGAGTAAACCTGCTGTTGCATTAATATCAAGAAATTTTCGGCGAGAATGAAGGGCCTACCCCCGTATGGAAAATACTACATCTCATCTCCACAGACTCTTGCCATCCAAAAAGGAAGCTCTTAAACGGGAGTTCGAGGTAGAAAAGGGGATAATTGAGTAGTGTGACTCGGGTTATGAAGCGCCAGTGGTGCTAGTACCCAAAAAGGACTCAAGTTTGCCTTTGTTGTAATAATTGGGCATCATCGTTCCACTTTGAGCCGTTTACCTGCACCTGTGACGTGACAATTCACCAGCTGCTCAAGATAAAGGTTAGTGTGTTTACATTTCATGCGCACTTAAACTGAATTGCGTTGAATTCGTTATATATTAACATTGGAATATGCGTTGTGTATTAAATTTAAGAGCTCAGTTACGATTCGAATCTTAGATGAAATTGTTTTGATATTGTAACCTATAACGTTTTGCATCATAAATATAGCAGGCGATGTGTTACCGGCATTTGCCAGTATTGATTTGAAGATATAATTCAGGTATCGTATCAATTTTTGTTTTGATGGGATATTTAAATTTGGCGCTTTATCTGAGCGCATTTTATCTAATGCGCCAATGAATGTGATTTTACGACTACGAACAACCAGAGTTCAATACCTTCTTCAGATTCACGGCAGTAAATATTTACACAGCAGTTTTATCAATTTACGTAAACAATTAAACAATTCTTACGCGACGTTGTCTGGCTATTACGTTTTTTCGTATTTTTGCTACGTGTATAAAACCGACACGTTGGAATTTATTTACTTCAAACTTTTTTTATTTTTTAACTGTAACTACCGGAACTCGCGTTGTTATATTTTACGTTTCAAACACAAATACTGGTCGTGACGGTAGTCCAAAAATCGAATCTGGCTCAAATTTGATTGGCAACGGCTTTCCGAGTCGCCTTGATCGCGATGCCCCTATGTAATATGACGTTTCTATCTGAACAAATTAAGATAGATCGACTAAATAAATTAAATAAAGATTTATCTAATTTTCTCTAAACCGAATCAACCAACTTTCAAAAATCAAACGTCAAATTAAAGGACTTCGAAAGACCTTTCAAACAAGCTGTTACTCGATACCACTTTTTTCCTTTAATCAGTTGTTTTCGATAAATCTGTGGTGGGAAGTTTTCAAATGAACACTCTGTATGTCAACTATGCAAAGTTTGAACCGAATCGGTCCAAGCGTTTGGCAGTTATCGTGTTCACAGACAGACAGACAGACAGACAGACAAATACCATCGACTCCCCTATAAAGCTTGCATCGTTTTGTTCTGTCGCTTAATTTTTGTTCGATTATTCTTCAACGGGATAGTGCACCCGCGCACAACGCCCTTATCGTGCGAGAATACCTACCGTACAAATTTTGCATATTCCACGAAATTTGTCCCATAGGTCTTGTCGCGCGATTAGGGCGTTGTGAGAGGGTGCACCATTCTGTTGGAACCAACTTTTTTTTACTGATCCTTTACTCAACTACGAAAGTTAAAAGTACTGGAGTGATCCACTTTATTGATACTTGTTAATTAATAATTAAGAAAGAAGAATCTTTATTTTTAATTGGAATTTTTGAAATAGAAATAACGAATACGTAGGCGCTTTGTAATTTCATTGGCGAAAGTTATTTCAGGCGCCCACTAATATGCGCAACGTGCCCTTTTTCGTATTAACCAGTTTTTTTTAACAAAACAGAGTCAGCACTTAAGATCTTAAACAGATAAACTAATCATTTATCACGTGGAGCATAAACAGAATTCGGTTATGAGACTCAGGCAATAAAGGTGGATGTTTATTTTATTCTTAAGAAATGGATATTTAACTTGCAAAGAAAGCGTCCGAGGATAGTCAAGCATACCCGTTGACCGAGGAAAGATGTAGAAATGTGCAACTTAATCCGGCAACTTATTCAGTAAAAAAAGGTGTATTTTGGTTGTTCCATAGTGTTACTAAAAATGTACACAATCGCGTGTAACCAGGCAGTTGTTAATTGAATAGTGCAAAGGTAATATTTCATTTATATTGAATAATTGAATTGAATACGTAATGTTTACTACGGCTGACAGTAAGTTCAAATAGTGCCTTAAATGTTGGTTCTGTAAGAAGCAGACCTAAGCTCAACTACGCCTATTATAATAAAAGACATTATTTTGTCAGTGTGACCTTGGTTCTGTAAACCACTATCCATTCAACTAATACCAGTCCGCGTTCACGTAGTTAATAGGTCCCGAGTACTGTCATTATGCGTTCGCTCGTTAGACCGAAATTAAAAGGGAATCAATGAAACAGATGTGAGCGTATGCTGTCCTCGTAATCCTAGTAATAACAACGGTGCAAGAAGTAATTTATAGTTTAATAGGTATAAAATTAGATCTACATTATATTCTTATGGTATTTTGCAAAGCAAATTATTGCATGAGAAATTCGCAGTGGTTGAAAAAGAAAACACGCCAATAAAATATGGAGCCACAATAGAAAGTTCTGTTCGTCGTTTACTTCTTTCAATTATCCATCACTCACTGAACACTCCGGATAGATGCACAAGTTTAAAAATGTAATTACAAGATCTTCTTCGCGTGCAAAGCGTAATTAATTGATGTACTCGACGACTGAGACCAAGATCTTGATAAAAAGTTAAAACGAATGCCTTGAACGTCTACTGTTTTGCAGTTATCTAAAAAAGAAGGAGTTAAAAGAGTGGGGTGTGCTACCACTATCTCAGTTCGAGGGTGCTGAACATTGTTCATTTGGTATTTCTTACGATAAGCTAATGATGAGAGAAAAACATATTAGATACGGAGTTCGAACTAAAATTTGCACCTCCTCCATTTTGTATTGGAAGAGTTTTTCTCATTCAATACAAAATGGACGTGCTTTTTTAATTGTCCGCAAACTGATTGATTTGGGAATGAAAGGAGACACCCTGTATATAGTAGATACCTAACACTTACGTATCTCAAGTATCTTTCTTATTGCATCAGGAGAGATAAATTTATTCCACGCGTGAGTACCTCGTGGTATTATATTTAACACTTCCTGTATAAGCACGATTCCCATTATCCACGAACGAATCGTTTTATTAAAGGTCGTAATGAACAGAGAACCATTTGGTTTAAGGCACTTTATGCAAGCCTCCAAGAACATTTCCTTCTCTGTCACATGTTCCACGACCTCCGAAGCGATAACGACGTCATATTTTTCGGCATTTTCAATCGCGTGTTCTTCAATCGTCGTCACAATGTAAGTCAGATTGACTAAAGTCGGATTGAGTGAGGCATGGTGCCTAGCAACTTCGACCGAATCGGATCCTGGGTCAATTGCGTCCACTATTGCGCCAAGCTTGGCCAACTCCTCCGAAAGAAGACCGCCTAAATTGAAACTAAATCTACGTAAACTTGCACAAGATCTTACCACCACAACCCACATCGAGAATTTTCAAATTTTCCACAGATTTTATGTTTTCGGTCAAGAGCAGGGCATTAAAGATGTATGGTACGCGAACGTCATTGAAAGACTGCAACTTTGACTTTCCTGACCACCAACGCTGGTTTAGGGTTTTAAAATGCTCGATTTCTCCATTGTCAACTGTCGATCTTCTATAAAATGCCAAATGTCCATTACTTTAGTTAGCGTGGAAGTCGACTTACTCATGTATGAGCTTTTTCCCCATTATTGGTCACTTTTTTAAATGAAACTTAACCGTGCTGGTCACTACGAATTAAAGATTAGAATTAGGTACATATTAATTGTAAATGCTAGAACTCGGAAAGTCCGTCCGTTCGTCAGTTTTTTTTTTTACAATGGTTTCGGTTAGGGTTTAAGGAAATTGAACATTGTCGCCTCGCGCCATATTCTCCCTATCTTTAATATAATATCAATCTTGTTTAATTAGAGTTTCTGTGTACATTTCAGAATATGGTCGTTTATCAAAAATAAAACCCTCCTCCCCTTTTTTACCACCCGGACGATATTAAGGGAGGTATTGCATTGGGGTAAAAAAAATAACCCCCCACTTTTTTAACGGAAATACACGTTTTGAAGCACCAGGACCACGAATCCGAATCAAACGAAATCTCGATCGGTCTATCTGTACTCTCATTTCCGGCTAAACGACTCAACCGATTGGATCCAAATTTGGTACACATATTTTTAGACATTAAATGGCAGAATCGCCTATGCGCAGGTGTGTGGGTGGGGTGTGCTAGCCACAGCAAATTAGAAAGAAGTGATTTTAATCGAAATCAATAAATCTTATGAACTAAAACACGAATCATATTGGCAGATGTTAAATGAAAGTGGTCACAGGGGTTCAGCTACAAAAAGTCCAAAAACCCCTTTTTTTACAAAATGGACATGAGATTTTAAAAAGCCCTTAAACAGACTCATCGGGCAAGGCTCATCGTGTAAGTTTTTTGTTCGGGCCATGATAACCTTGGCTTACCTACACTATAACAACAATGTACCTAATCGATTAAGAACACTTCAGTTCAGAAGGTCTACACATGGCACTCGTGGGATCAAATTTTAACTGAATAAACTGAAATGGGAAGAAGATAATAAAATTGGCAGAACTCTTAAGTTAGTAATTTCTGATCGTTCGTTGAAAACCGACTTTTGGACGTGGTCTACATCAGCAAATTGCATTTTAAAAAGATCTATCGTATCTTACGAAATTGCTGACTATAGAAATGAAAATAATTATAACAAATTGATGACACAGATTTGTTATCTTATTATGTGTGATATGTGTTCGTTACCCGGTGCAGGTTTATTATTACACCCTGTAAACTACGGGTAGGTACAAAGGTACCATTACGTATAGTTATGATAACAGTCAGTGGAAATGCTCGGATCTGTTTCGAAGGGAGGTAATCCTCCTTATAGATCACCCCTTGAAATTTTAGATTGTAACTTTTTGTATTTTTTAACGACATTATAGCTCTGTTGCTTTACTGAAAGAAATAATTAAATGTATATGAAGCAATAAGCAAAATACAAGTAGGTATTATTTTAGTTAATTGCCAGATATACCTAACTGTCACTGGAAATTCGAAAGAGTTGCCAGAGTGGCCGCCCTAGAGTGAACGAGCTCCATATAAAGGTATAAGGTATGGCAAAAGGTGGTCTTACATATTGTGTGAATTGTGGCACAGTCACTGTTGCTTGCGGAATACTTAAAAGATGTTGTGGTAATTAATAGACGACAAATCCATCAACTGCTGTGAAACAAAGCGACAACCAGTATTAAACAAAAAGATATTATAATTAATGGGCTCGTGATAAAGTTAAATTCCTGGTAAACACGATGATTTACTCAACAAGCGGTGATATCGACTTTGCAAATATCAGAAGGTCAGGTTCAAATATAATCTAATTGTCCTAAACTGTGGCATTGCCCTCATCCAAAGAAATAGATATTGAGACTTCTTCCAAAGCTAATAAATCTAATAACGATCCGGATACCAAGGACATGGGTCTTTCCTGAAGTCGACTGTGAAACGATAACATCCAAATTTCGGGCATATTACGCCTTCCTTCAAAATCGATCCAAAAATTCTTGAAATACAATACCAGGCCGGGTTCGGACCAGACCAGACTTTCTGCAACTGGATTGCAGATCACTTAAACACGTGAAATCTGTCATTTAGCGCCGAGGAATCTCCAAAAATGTTAAAAATTAGTGACGTTATCCCCATTTATAAGACATTAATTTTCATTGGTTAGTTATTTTCTTTCCACCATTACCAAACGGCTTTTAGGCGCTATCAAGTGTGCAGAGCTAGTATTTTTTCACCGCTTGCTTCTTAATTAGAGTTGCAAAAATACCCAAAGAAGGCTAATTTACAGAGTGTAATTCAAAACCAGATCCAGACAATGAGGCGACAACTTAACCCTTTCTACTTACGCGTAATTCGGCGGGAAAACAAATTCAAATAAAAATGCTCTCGTTGCAGTGGGCCATTAGTGCGTGGGTGGAAGATTGTGGATGTGTTAACGCGCATATTTAAAATTTATTGTCGGAGTATGTTGAAAAGACTCTTCAGGCTACATATTTTCAACGAAATTGAAATTGTTATACTAAATATCAATTCCTTGTTATTATTGTTATATTTCCTTAATTTTGGATGTCGCTTTAAATCTGTTTTAAAGTTTTAAATAAACAGGCCACTATTGATGTTTCGTAATTTCTGCAAATAGACTCGAGTATTTAAATTTTTAATAAATGTTCCAAATTTTACAAATTTGTGAACAAAATCAATTTATCTAAGCTGACCTGGGAAGTCTTATACTAGGTAGTCCAGTAAAATTAGACAAAATAAGGGCCAAACCCGGAAATTTCCGAAATGTTCCAAAAGATCTCGGTTGGGGAACGGACGCCATCTTGAAAAAACTACCCCTAAACTCGATTTCTCGAGTTTTGAGCAAAACCAATGAACCAATGGTCTGATTCTCGTTGCCAAGGTGTCAAAATGTTTGTTTTAATGTGTATTTGGAGTAAAAACATAATTCCGCACATAAAGAAGGCCTTGGAAATTCGAGCTTTTTAGGAAAATCACCCCCAACCTGGATTTTTCACGTTTTCGGCATTTGTTGTTGTTTTGTTTGCGCAATCCTAGGATTGGTTGGACGCAGTCCTCCACCTTTTCCTATCCTGCGCTAATCTTTTCAGTTCTACGTAACTACCCTTGCCTACGTCCCTAACTATTTGCTCTATGTATTTAAGTCTCCGTGGTCCTACCCCTCTCTTGCCCTCGGCCCTCCTTCTATAGCTAGTAGCGCTATTCCTCCGTGTCTTAGCACGTTCGCTATCATTCTATCTCGTCTTCTCGGTACGGTTCTCCATATTTCCCTATTTCCTGTACTAGCTCCAAGACTGCTTCGTTTGTTACCCTATCCATCCAGCTAATCCTCATTCTATCCTACTTTTGCCTGCCTATCGTCCAGGTTTCGCACCTGTATGACCTACACTCCATTTGTACGTTTTTAGCAATCTTTTCCTAATTCCTATATTTATCTCGGATCTTAGCAGGTCCTACTTTTATGCCAATGTTTTTTTACCCTGCGCTATCCTGGATTTTATATCTTCCTTGCAACGATTATCTTGTGTAACCTTACTACCTAAATAGCAAAAAGAGCGGTTATCTTAGAAAGTGTTTATGTAATACGGAAACTGGTTTCCTCATCGGCAGCTAAAAGGGCGCTAGAAGTTAAATTACCTTCTGTTTATTCCTAAAAAAAATAAATAAATCTGGCAGCTACGGTTTCTTAGTAACGAAACACCCAAATTTATATCATGTTTCGATACCGTGCGTTCAGGTGTAAGGGTTACTTTTGTAAGAGTAGATCGGTGTCTGATTTTTACTCATAGTATAGATTTTCGTCATTGTGTTGTCGTTCGGTCTCGGAATATTTCCAGTTTAAAACCTGTGTATGGATTGATTATTTCCACACCGTTTTTTTTAGTTATGTGCGAATAGTTGAACGGATTCCGCTTATTTACATTAATTGTAAAATGCATTTAAATATTTTTTACGTGCAACTTAACCTGACTGCAAATAATAATGAAAAATATAATGAATAAAATAGTGTTCATTTAGTTAGTACTCTCAATCTTGTTCTGAACTCTGAAGGTTTTTTTAACAGAAATTTTGACATTCAGATAGAGAACGTCAAGAAGAACGATTAGAAACATCAATACTAATTATCCGAAGCTTTATTTAACAACAATAGCCGGAAAAGGGAGAAATCCATGATGGGGGTGGTTTTTTGAAAAAGGTCACGTTTGCAAGGGCATCGTATTATACGGAATAATTATTTCACTCAAAACAAACATCAAAACAACCATTTTGACACCTTCACAAGGAAATTTGGACCATCCGTTCATTTGTTATGCTCAAAAATCGGAAAATCTAATTTAGGGGTAGTTTTTTCAAGATGGCGTCCGTTCCCCAACCGGGATCTTTTGGGACTTTTCAGGGATTTAGTTCTAGCACTATCCTCACCATGTATGCCAATTTTCAGCTTGTTTTTTCAAATTTCTGGGTCAATGTCTACTTTTACTGGACTATACGGAAGGTAGCTCCAAACCTGGTCCAAACGTGCTACAATAAAAGAAGAAGGCGAAGAAAATTGCAAATAGGACTTCATCAATAGAACCACGAACTCGAAGTTCTTTTCCACAATTTTAGAATTACGCGTTAAACGACTTGGTGCCGGGAGGGCGAGACGAATGGCGTCAAACTTTTCCGCATGGTCAACATTGTTTTTTTTACCTTAGAGATACGGCTATTTACTTTGTTAAAACCAGCTAAAAGTTATTTTTTATGTCCAGTGAGTTCATTACTAGGAAGAGAATTCTCTAGCTTTGGTGCACCGTACTTTTAGAATTTTTATTTTTTATCAAAGAATTTTAAGTATGAAAGGCGCCATTTTAGAAGCCACATTGATTCATACAGCATCACTATATGAATTTGATCTTTAAAATTGACATTTTTTCACGCTAAATATACGTGGAAAATTTTTAATTGAGGTCGCCATTCTTTTATTTGCGACCGGATGATACAAGTACGTAGGCTAAAGCGAGTCCTCATCCCGCAGGTAATAAACTTTCCCTGATAGCCTATTTAATGGTACGTTATCCAGATTTAACAAATATTTAAAAGAATTCAAACACCAATTTAAGAGTGCGATTGACCAATCCTTGGCGATTGATCGTTTTATTTTGCGACACGTTAGAGACTCAAAAAGAAAACTCCTCAACCAATCGCATCAAAATTTAGAGTACCTACATAAAAACGAGGTAAAGCCAATTTTATGACGTTTGAGAACAGGTAGTTTCTAGGCGAATGTGGTTGTTTTCCTCCCAGTTCCTTAGGAATTATAACCTGCCTTCAGAACCGCGATCGATAGAATGTGTACAAAGTATTGACAAAAATGCACTATTTTACTGAAACATGATGGTTATTTCGAGGGTTATTTCTAAAAATACACGGAGAAAAATGTATGTTAAAGGTAATTAAAAATATAATAATAGCTATCAAAAAATATAATACGTATAGGGATAGCTATGAAGAATTATAAAATTTATCATATACATATTGTTGCAGGTGTATAGCTAGTTTTACTATATATTGCTTTAACTCATACAAAAAAAACTGTATGTAACGGCAACCATCTCATATGCATGCTTTTGTAATACGGGAGTAGTTGAATTAACATCTCCGCTTTGTATTAATAAGTAACTTAGATTATTGCAACTAATATACACACCCTGCCAAAAATCGACTGCACCAAAATTTCTCGGGAATTCTTATTAATTTTGGTGCGTAGAATCCAAAACAATTCGTACTTTTTCGATCAGACTTCTCAATCAAAAGTTATAGACTAGAAACCAATTTCGAAAGAAAATTCAAAGGGCTGTAACTTTTGAACTAGTAGCCCAATCTTGGAACTGTTTGAAATTATGGATTCTACAGGCCACATTCTATAAGAAAATTTTTTTTCCGGGTCGATCTGAGACAATTTTTTTTTCGGGCCTCAAAAAAAGGCAGTGTATAACCTTCCTTTTTTACCAAAAATCGACTACACCAAAATTTCTCGGGAAAACACTTTTTCTTATTAATTTTGGTGCGTAGAATCCAAAACAATTCGTACTTTTTCGATCAGACTTCTCAATCAAAAGTTATAGACTAGAAACCAATTTCGAAAGAAAATTCAAAGGGCTGTAACTTTTGAACTAGTAGCCCAATCTTGGAACTGTTTGAAATTATGGATTCTACAGGCCACATTCTATAAGAAAATTTTTTTCCGGGTCGATCTGAGACAATTTTCTTTTCGGGGCTCAAAAAAAGGCAGTGTATAACCTTCCTTTTTACCAAAAATCGACTGCACCAAAATTTCTCGGGAAAACACTTTTTCTTATTAATTTTGGTGCGTAGAATCCAAAACAATTCGTACTTTTTCGATCAGACTTCTCAATCAAAAGTTATAGACTAGAAACCAATTTCGAAAGAAAATTCAAAGGGCTGTAACTTTTGAACTAGTAGCCCAATCTTGGAACTGTTTAAAATTATGGATTCTACAGGCCACATTCTATAAGAAAATTTTTTTTCAGGGTCGATCTGAGACAATTTTTTTTTCGGGCCTCAAAAAAAGGCAGTGTATTACCTTCCTTTTTACCAAAAATCGACTACACCAAAATTTCTCGGGAAAACACTTTTTCTTATTAATTTTGGTGCGTAGAATCCAAAACAATTCGTACTTTTTCGATCCGACTTCTCAATCAAAAGTTATAGACTAGAAACCAATTTCGAAAGAAAATTCAAAGGGCTGTAACTTTTGAACTAGTAGCCCAATCTTGGAACTGTTTGAAATTATGGATTCTACAGGCCACATTATATAAGAAAATTTTTTTCCGGGTCGATCTGAGACAATTTTCTTTTCGGGGCTCAAAAAAAGGCAGTGTAAAACCTTCCTTTTATACCAAAAATCGACTGCACCAAAATTTCAAAAATCAGGATACACACATATTGGTTTTCGAATATATAAAATATATAAAAGTCGTATTTAAGGAATCTACCCTACATGGCTACATCCTATAAGAGTATAGACGTTAACTGATGGTGACACTATCCTCTAATCGACAATGCGTTATTAATAAAACGAAACCGTAATTGTGTAACTGTAGCTCAATTTCGAATGATATTCCTGACAAAGGGGGATTAATTTAGAACTTAATCGTTGCATTTAAACCTACGGGAGGATTAATTTGCGACTCGCTGCATTGTGATTTTCTAACTGAAATAGGTAGGAATGGAAATACACAGTAAATAAGATAGGGCGGGGATTTCTTTTCGATATGCAACATTTACATATGTATTACGACGGCGGTGTTATCCTGTTATCCTCTGATAGTCAGAACAGCAACTGTCGCTGTTGGGGTTTTTACAGCACCTGATGCCCAGACCGGGGGATTATATAGTGCAGCTCGCTTGCCGCCCTTTTAAACACGCGCCATTGATCCCACTTCTGAATCTGGTGGGAATTCGAATTATGTCCGACGGTGTTTTTTTCTGACGTGCAGTTTTACGCGTTTTTACCCTATTAAGTACCATCTTTCGTTTATAATTAAAACCGCATTAGTCGACTCTATCGATCTCGAAAGCGCTTCTGTCAGAAAGTATCGATTGGGGCGAGGGCAGTCACGGCAGACGCGATTTCTGTAACCAGATTAGAGCACAAAGGGCATATGGGTCAGCTAGACGAGATTCACGGATTATGAACCCCTCTTAATTGATTGCGGTTCACACTCGTCTACTTCGCTTCAATCATAATGCGAATTTCGAAATAAGAACGTCGGGGCGGCCGCCGTCGTCAAACGAAAATGCAAATTTTACAAACCAGCAATCATAGAGTATTAGAAAAGGAGATGTAAAAATAAATCTCCGCTCAAAAATACAATTAAAGTTATATTCTTGGTCCCCTTCCACTTCATTTCCCTTCCATTCCGCTTTTTTAATTTCACCGAAATGCAATACGGCGATATAAAAGTTTGTCGTGCGATATCTTGTTCCCAAAACCTATCAAAGAAGACTAAAAATAAAAATCCTATCAGAAAGAAAAGCAATTTCGCTACAAAGCTGCAAAATTACATCAATTTTTGAAAGATTCGTTTAAAAGTTTGCAACGCGAGATACTTTGATTTTGAAATGATACTTTTTTTCACAATCTTAACTTGAAAGAAACGCTTTGACGTTTTCATGTCCTTTTTTTCAAATTGACGCATAATTTAGTCGATTTGTACTAATTCCATATTAGCAGAAGTTGGCTGGCATGTCAGTATTCCAAATCTATGCAACTAAACTACTCAAATAATTTTGAACGTATTTTTTAATGGAAGCCCTCTTTTACGAACTTCATTTTGGGATTCTAGGCATACCTATACGATTCCGTGAATGAACAATTTTTCTCCAATTCAGAAAATTTTCATTTTCCCGATATCCATAAGGCAACGGAGGTTGGGCTTACAATCTGTCAATCGGGTATGTAGAATTGTAGAATCCAAAAATGGTAACAAATTCGTCTTTGGGTATTTCTTAGGGGCCCAAAGAACCGCATAAAACGTACACGACCCCTTCCTGGACGCCCTAAACTCTTAATTTATCGACGTCTCTTCCCGTTCTAAAATCTCGAAATTTTTAATGAAATTCGCTCTTACAAATATAGCAATATTCAGTCGCGGGGGTTGTAATTATTGTCGTACGTTAAAAATTATTGTTTTTATGATAGATTGTGTTTATAGGACCACCAATCAACCCAACAAACGCCTCCTCAAAATAAAATGTCCTCCCGTTCTAAAATCTCGAAATTTTTAATGAAATTCTCTCTCACAAACATAGCAATATTCAGTTACGGAGGTTGTAATGATTGTCGTACGTTAAAAATTATTGTTTTTATGATAGAATTTGTTTATGTGACCACCAATCAACCCTAACAATCGCCTCCTCAAAATAAAATGTCCTCCCGTTCTAAAATCTCGAAATTTTTAATGAAATTCGCTCTTACAAACATATCAATATTCAGTCGCGGGGGTTGTAATTATTGTCGTACATTAAAAATTATTGTTTCTATGATAGATTTTGTTTATAGGACCACCAATCAACCCAACAATCGCCTCCTCAAAATAAAATGTCCTCCCGTTCTAAAATCTCGAAATTTTTAATGAAATTCGCTCTTACAAACATAGCAACATTCAGTTGCGGGGGTTGTAATTATTGTCGTACATTAAAAATTATTGTTTCTATGATAGATTTTGTTTATAGGACCACCAATCAACCCAACAATCGCCTCCTCAAAATAAAATGTCCTCCCGTTCTAAAATCTCGAAATTTTTAATTAAATTCGCTCTTACAAACATATCAATATTCAGTCGCGGGGGTTGTAATTATTGTCGTACATTAAAAATTATTGTTTCTATGATAGATTTTGTTTATAGGACCTCCAATCAACCCAACAAACGCCTCCTCAAAATAAAATGTCCTCCCGTTCTAAAATCTCGAAATTTTTAATGAAATTCTCTCTCACAAACATAGCAATATTCAGTTACGGAGGTTGTAATGATTGTCGTACGTTAAAAATTATTGTTTTTATGATAGAATTTGTTTATGTGACCACCAATCAACCCAACAATCGCCTCCTCAAAATAAAATGTCCTCCCGTTCTAAAATCTCGAAATTTTTAATGGAACTTCACTTCTGAATTTACGCCATCTGGAAATGAAAGATAGAATTGTCCAAAGCAGTAAAATAATCAATCGCCACGCGTGCCACTTGCGGTCTTTAGGAAAGGTAAATCGAAATGTGCACTTCGAGATTTATTGCACAATTAAATTATAATGGTCAGTCGGGTTGTACCTAGTAAAGCTTTGTTTAACGCATTTGTTTGGAAAATTTGAAAAATGCGCGCATAATTTCAATGAAATATGTGTAAGTCCACCTCTGTATCTAACAGCTTTTCAATAGTTTAGTTGACGGCAAATCCGGGCTCGCCAAATGATTTCCAGTGGTCCCAGGGGAAGTAAGGATGAGCCTGTATATATATAAAGTGATTCCACTAGAACACATGTCCCATCCCCAAACTGAATCGTTTGGTTTTCCCCGAAGTTCGCTCGTTACTAGTTCATGTGGGATTTGGATTTTACTGTATTCGAACCCGTTCGATCGCGAGTTTAATTAAATTTAGTTTGGGACTTTTTCACTTACCGATAAATTAATTTCCTTCGTACTGATCGCTTAAAAAAGCCGGAGCATCCGTTGCAGGCCAAGATTCCGTAGTGTTTTCCCGAGCTTGTGTCCCCGCAAACGACGCAGACAAGTCCCGGGGTTCCCTTCTTTGTCGGAAAGCTCCACGGGGGCGGCGGCGTCCGCGATGCCTGCACCAAAGTCTGTGATCCTTGAAGGCTTAAGGAAAGGGGGTGATCTTCGGGCGCGGAAGAATAACAGTCCACGTTTCCCGGCGATCCTCTAACATCTAAAACAAATAATTGAAAAGTCACTGCAGAGATTTGTTTGACCACATGCTATCAGATCGATATACGGTAAACATAATGGCAAAGTACAAATACGCGTCCCCAACCCTAAATTTTCATACATAATGCTACCCGCTTAATCCCAGGATAACACAAATTAATACACTACCATTAAATTGAAACACCCCAAATCCTTTCACAAAGAATTTCTCCTACACCAACAATAATTTGCACCGACCTGCCTTTCTACCGTAGATGGCGAATAAAATTAACATTAGTCAGTCGAAAATGAAAAGTGAAATAATTCAAATGTACGAAACTAATACTAATTGTATTCCACTTAAGCCTAGTTGGTTTTAAATTGTAGGAGGGGTGATCGCCCGAATACTACGGGGACCCTTTTAGTTGACATATGGGACCAGACCTGTCCTATTCACATGATAATCAAGCACACTTGATTAATACTCTAATGTCAATTTGACTGGAATTGATTTCATAAACTCGATACTTTTTAACATCAGGGGCCACTTGAGCAAATTTAATTTTTAGTGGGTATAGCCATAACATAGGTGCAATTCATTTCTATTCAGTATGCAGCAATTTCGGATGATGTTTTTCATCGTAGTTGATGAGGAAAAAGGAATAATCATCATGAATCGCCAATTTCGGGGCTCTTTAATAATAGCAATAAGAAGGGGAATTTGAATACGATACTTTTCTCTTATACCCTTAAAATTCTGTTTCGGGGTATATCATTTTCATTGCAATTTTTTCTAATTACTAATAACGGCATTCCTAGTTACCCCTCTTTAAATATTCACGTTTTCAAAAATATCATTTTTTAGGAACTTAAAATCATCTGGAATTGGTAGTAACAAAAGACATTAACCAATAAAGAATTAGACATGGCTGTCGGGATTAACGATCCACCATTGTATAGGTGGGAACTAATTAATTCAAAGTAGAAGGGGTTAGTTGGAAAGTTTTCAGATTATCAGATGTGATCTTGATAGTTGATATGGTCGGTAAAAATTAATTCCTTTCATTGAGACCTTTCATTAGAGTACCGTGACGGATAAATCAGTTTTCTCCTCCTCCCAACCCCTATTTTGATAAGGAGCAAAAAAGAAGGGCGGTAGTTGGTAGAAAACAGTTCCTTTTCTTGACACCTTTAATTAGAATATCATGAAAGATAAAGGTGAAAGCAACCCGCCCGCCCTTCCGCCTGTCCGTCCGTCCGGGCCCACTTCTGCGGTTTTGAAGTACTTTTAGGGGAATGGTCCTAGAATCCTGGAATTTTTATATCTCGAAGGTGTGCCAGACGCCCATCAAATTTCGCTATCTGAAGGGGGGGGGGGGGCATGAATTATATCCTGAGATGATGTTTTTGAATGCAAAACGTGGTTAACTTTTACCTACGGCAATAAATAGGTCTCAGAATTTGCATATCATGGCTTTAGTGGTGCCAAGTAAAATTTAAAAAGGGGGAGAGCGGGGGTAAACACCCGTTCTACTCTTCATGGTATTCTAATGATAGGTCTCACCGAAATTAATTCATTTGTATAAACTATAACCACAGATTTAAAGTATGTTTAAATCTGTGCTATAACTTTCCTGTGTGATTATTTTCCTTTCAGTAGGTGGCCGGGGAGGGGGAGGGGATTAGAAATTAAATGTATGGCATTCCAATTAAAGGTCTCAACAAAAAGAATTGTTTTCTACCAACTACCGCCTTACTTTCTGGCTCCTTATCAAAATAAGGGATGGGGGGGAGGGAGTATCTTTCATGCTACTCTAATAAAACATCTCAACGAAAGGAATTCATTTCTAGTAACCATAGCCCTCCTCCTCGACTCCTTAGCAGGACTGCAGAAGTCAGAACGCAGCAAAATAACCAACAGTTGTTATTAGCGTATTTTTTAAGAATTAAAAAAAATTGCTATTGTTTGCGTTTTGTCCGTCCGCACGTCTGTCCGTCCGGACCCACTTCTGTCGTTTCGAACTACTTCTAGGAGAATTTTTTGCAGTAGGTAGCCTATACCTTGAAGGTGTGCCAGATGGCCATCAAATTTCGCTGTCTAAAAGGGCCCCCCCCCCCCTCCACGAATTACTTCCGGAGATGCTGTTTTTGAAAGTCAAACGTAAAACTTTTACATACGACAACCAATTGGTCTCAGATTTTGCATACGCATTCCTTTAGTGGTGTTAAATTTTAGAAAACGAGAGGGGGGGGTAAACACGTGTTCTACCCTCCATGGTATTCTAGTGAAAGGTCTCATCGAAATAAATTGGTTTGTACAAACTATAACTTTCCCGTGCGACTCTTGTTCGAGATCAGTGAGCGATGGGCCCTGAGGGGGGGGGGGAATCAATTTTATCTCGTATTCTAACAAATCTAACTAAAGGTCTCAACGAAAGCCCTCCTCCTCGACCTTTTATCGTGATCGGATATATTCCCTTATACCTCAAGAACGGATTATCGGAAGAGGGTACTCACAAAGGGCGATTAAGACGTGTACAAGAAATATATCCATCGGTGACGTCAAAACAAAAGCTATTTCGGTTAAAAAAATGCGTTTTGCACAGTTTATACTTGTTTTCGTTGATCACCAAATCAAACAGATCCTCTTATCTCGAACGCACTGTATAAAAAAATAGAGGTCGAATTCCTAAAGAAAATCGTCATAAGTCAACTTCAAGTAATTTAAGAAAAAATTAGTAAGAGACATTTTACTATTCATATTTCCTTTAAGTAATTCCAACCTATTGGCAATTACACTGTTTCCATTTAAGCTCACTCGAATTGGATTTGAAATTTTCAATCAAAATCAGTTTTTTCATTAAAATTATTTTAAGTTTAGTTACAGCGTATTTTGTGTAATTACATAAGGTGAATTGTGTGTATAAAGTTGCGTTATGTCTGGGATTTAGATTTAATATTCAGTTAGGGATATAAGGGATAGGGATGCATTACAGTGGCCACTAAAAAATAAATTTGTGTAATTAGAAATTAATAGAGAGAATCATCGGTAATAGAAATCTTGTGAAATGGGAATGTACCTACTTTGGAATGGTACCATTTATCTAATTTTTTTGTCAGTATAATCCAAAATTTATGATAATCTGGTGTTTGATTGGTTATTTATTTATTTTACTCACTATACATTGACAAACATCCATGCCCGAACCTGGATTCGAACCAGTGATCGTTGGTGTCACATGGGTCGACTAACAAACAGTTCCGAAATTAATCTTGAAGCGAAAGTACAGTAAATGAGAGAATTTTCAGTAAGTAATTGTAAATTTATCTCAGGGGCTAGTCGTGGGCAAATTGATAAAATTGCGTAAGGAGTGCAAAAAAATGTATCTATTAGCTGGAGAAATCGCTTGCAACTCCACTGCACCCCCGTAGCGCCGTCCCTGAGCATCCCTCTGCGCATCCGAAAACTACCAAGCAAGAATTTCTAAGCGATTTTTCCCGCTTTTCTTATTTCTAATTTTTTAATCCTGTTTTAATTACATGCTGACAGTTTTTGTAAAAGTTGAAATTCTCTTAGTCGAGGGCATTCTTGAAAGTGCAATAATGCGTCCATTCTAACATATATTTTTTTAGGTTGGTATTAGCAAAATTTCACGCGAAAGTGAATTATAATTACAGCATGTACTGAAAGCACATCTGTCACTTCAAAAATTGCCGAAAAGTTATTTCACTTTCGACTTTCACGAAATAATTCTCAGCATGTAAAACGGGCTTAATGCATTTTTAAACCCCTTAAGTAACTTTCAAAAAATAGCTCAACGAGTGTTTTACAAAATTTTTTATTTTTATGCCGAAAACGCAGTTCGATATGAACTGATTGCAAAAATTGACAACTTTTTTTCATATTTCTCTGGCCTAGTGTAACTATAGTGTTCAGAAATTCTTCATTGATCGGATTTTTCATCTTCGTCAGAAATCATTCCGGTATCTAAACTATCCTTTAAAACGTCGTCTCTAAAGTCACTAAATATAGAAAGTACCGCAATCCATTGGGCTCGTGTGTTAGAGAGAGAATGCTTGATTTTTGCCCAAAAATGGCCCAAAAATTACCAGATTCTAGTAACTTTACTGTTAGGGAGTGTTCCACCTGTTTGGAGATATCTGTATATATTTTTATAAAACATGACAGTACTATGAAGTTAGGTTATAAAAAATGACAGCTATTCAGATTTTATTTGTCAATTTTTTTAAGTTGGCAGCAAATTTGCCCAAAAATGGCGGATGATTGCGGTACTTTCTATATCTAGTGACTTTAGTCGTCTCTTCCTAAAGGTTTTGCGAAGATTCGTCAGAGGTTTTTAGGTGTATAATAGATTTTTTATAAAATATGTATTGATTCGTGAAAGAGTTTTCATCAATTTAAGTTAGAAGTAGATTTTTCAGAAGTTCTTCAGAGATTCAATGAGCTTTCAGATAGTTGCAAAGATTCTGCAGAAATTTTTATGTATGTATCCCCTGGAGGATTTTTAGACAATTTTGGGCGATAGATATCTTTTGGGAATAAAAATTTCCATCCAAAAATGTTTCAAATAAAATTCTGAATTCTGAAATTTCCCGTTTGGGGATGTTTAGAGATGTAAATATCAAAACTAAACATTCACTTATCAAAAAAATTTTACTACAATTTTGGGCCCGATAAGAAACAATTGTAATGTATTAAATTATCGATACTCAGAACAAATACTTACTTCATTTTAATGTTTTACAAGAATTTGACAGAAAGTTTCCAGTATGAATTTCTAGCACGTTACAACAATTTTGTTTGAAAACGTCTATTCGCTTATCTTAACGTAGAGGAGTTGCGTTTAGCGATTACCGTTTTACGTAACTTGCTGGTCAACTACAATACAATGAAAGATGAGTAATCGTCGAATTTATTGAATAATGTAAGAAACCGATTTGATTTTCTTTCAGTTTGGTCGTGATCGCGTTGCGGGATGGATTGCATTGGTCTTCATTATT